TGATTCGAACAAGTGCCAACTGATTTCAGTTCCACACCTGGATTATGTTTAAACTATATAGCACCACATCACCATATCCCATTGACTGTAATAATCCTACTGTGTTTACTGGTGATGGCTCTTGATTGCAATAATGTTATATCTTTTTAGTACCGATGTAAGATTATATTTGTGACGTTTAATGTTTTTAAGGCTTTTAATTAATCTTTGTATACCTACTCATAATCCTTTAATAAGGTTTGTTTGATTGAATGACTACTTTAGCAGGGGTTAAAAGTAGCTTTGCTGGACTGGTTGAGTTCAGCTTCTGATTACATTTAATATCTTCCTGGGAAGATATTCACTCCTCTGAGATAATGAGCAATTGGGTCCTGAAGCACAGATGTAAGAACAATAGACGTCTGAAAGAAAAGGCTACAGTCTCAGACACCTGCCTATCTCAAGGCTAAGAAACGAGCAGGTTGTGGAAGGCTGACCAGAAGTTGTCCTTCTCTTTCTTTTTTTTTCTTCCCCTTTTTTTCTCTCTGCAAAGCAGCCGCTGAAGAGTGGGGGGGCTGTCGCTGTGACAAGGGGAGGTGGAGTTCGAAACGCATAAAAGAAACTTCGGAGCAGTTGGACTCATCGTCGGAGGAACGGTGGTGAGGCAGCTAGTGGTCAGGGACTTCTCCAATGGAGTCGGATAATATCGTTGAATCTCGCTGCTTTAATAAGCAGGTCAAAGGTAACGAGAACATGGACGATCAATTCCAGGACCGGACAGGAGAGGAGGGCTTTCTCCAGTCGGAGTTTGGGTAATAACATACATTTTTATTGTTACGCTGGATAAACCTATACGCTGAGGTGATTGTATAATATCGATGGTAATGCCAGAGACAGTCGCTGCTTGTGCGCAAATAAAGATTGTGGGCCAAGACACCAGCCTTCTCTTTTCAAACAGTGCTATCATCTTGCCCTTCAGCAGAGGCTATTGTGCCATCCACAACATAAGCCCATTATAGAATAATAGATTCAATACTTTTGCAAAATGTTAAGTGTCAAAATGCATGTTCATCTGCATTGAAACAGATATTGGCGTTGCAGCCAGAAATTGTCACATCTGAAGATCATTACTCAATGTGTGTTCTGTGAAGCGCTTTGGGACGTCCTCCCGATGTGAAAAGCGCTATATCAAATGCAAGGATTATTATTATTATTATTATTATCATTTGAAATTGACATCTAGTATTAGTTCCTATTGCAATCCAGCGGTGTTTAAAGCTACTCCACACGTTTGCAATTATGGGAGTGAAAGTGAACGTTAACATTAGGTTTGCTATGTGCTCTACAGAAGCATTTTGTGTTCCTAACTGTCTGATGTCAAACCCTTTAATACATTTAATATTGAAGTTTTTTTTTTAAAAAATCTAGTCACTCCATCCACGACTGTTTGTGGGCCAATCCATCCACGGCTGTTTGTGGGATACTCCTGTGCGCAATTGGCTGCTGTGTTTCGGCCCACAAAATACACAGTCACTCGACTTCTCAATGACGTGATAAAGACTCTATACCGAGTGCAAGAATTATTATTATTAATTGAGATTAATGTGTACCGTTCCAGTGGAGGAGAGAGCTTAAGCATACGATGTCTCTGAATTATCTGAAGTTACTGCTCTTAACGGTAACTGATGCAGTGGGATAACCCCAGTTGCTGTTTCTTGACAGTAGCTTTGTGGTCAGACCACAAGAACGACAATAAAGATAAAGGGGAAGGGGGAATGGGGGGGAAAACTAATAAAATCTCTGAAAATTATTTTTTAATTAACCTGCAGCCTGCAGGTATTTGCATTTGTTTTATAGGGTTTTGTTTGAAGAAGGGTTTATTAACCCTTTCATTGGAGTTGACAATATACTTGAGAATACCTAACTGGGTTTCCGAATAAGGCATCCAAGTGGAAAATCTTTAAGTCGCTGGAAGTACGTCAGATTCGCAGGAGTGCTGTGCAAGAGCAGATTGCAGCAATTTCTGGGAGTTTGCAAGATATTATACAACAATAACAATCCTTGCACTTGACACTTAATCACGTGTTCGAGACGTCTCAATTATTATAATTAAATAAATAATTGATTAATTTTAATTCAATGGTTTTAATTCCAGACAGTGAAGGTACGAGTCCCCAGTTATCTAAAGGTGGCAGGTTCACAGTGACGGTACGTGCACAGAGAGAGAGAGAGAGAGAAAAAAAATGGTCTACGACATTCTGTCAAATTCGTTCACAGGACACATTATACACAAAAGCTCCAATTTAACCCACAAGACCACATCGCGCACATCCGACGTGTGAAAAATGCACGTTTCTTGTTCAAAACAGAGTTGCTACAAGAATCGCGCTCGCCACACAGCTCACGCGCACGGAATCCATAGGTATAAACGTTTCAACCTGTAATGTACAGGCTGAGCAATTTTCAGCTACCCTGTTATCGGAAAAAAATAATTTCTTTAAGACTTATTGTAATGGTATCCTGACTTTGTGTTCGCCCTGTAGACTCATAGAACATTGCAGCACGGAAAGAGGCCGTTTGACCCTTTGTTCTCGTTCTGACTTTTCTCACAATTCTACTGATTTAGTTCCCCATCTCCTTTTCAAATATTTATCTAGTTCCTTCTTAAAAGCTCTCCGAGGCGCTGCCAGGGCGAATAAATGCAAGTGGTTGTTGTTAAGGCTAAAATGGATGTTGCCTCAACTATAGTTCCAGGTAAAGGCTTTGTGTGTGTCCCAGTAACCCTTTGTGTAGGAAAATCACCCCTGACCTCAGCCACGGTTGTTGAGGTGTAGTTCTAGTAAGTCTGGACTCAAGCCGGGCAGGTCGCATTGCTGACGATAAGACCAGCCAGCCTGGCTCCTCGGCGGGCCTTTGACGGGCAGGCCAAGGATGGATTTATCACTCCATCAGTGGGTCAAGGATTCTCCACACTCAGCTCCTAATAGACCTGCAGGCTCCCCCAGGTAGGGTGGTCTCATCTGATGTGAACTATATTAAATGATTATTTTTGTCTGTAAATTCCACTGACTTACGTTCTGCTGCCTGTTCACTGTATAGTCCTTGCTCCTAGCAAAAGTTGCTCAGGCTTGTGAGTTGGCCTGAGCCAACTGCGAGAATAACAACTGATTTAATTGGAGCTTTAACTATTGTGGAGATTGCAAGTTAATGGGCAATTGAGTATTTGCATATTGCAAGTGAAACTTCAGTAGACACCTTTCTCCATTCAGTGAAAAGTGCATGGAGAGTAAGATCATCACATGTAAGATGGTTTTGTCTGTGGTTTTCACTAATTGATTTGCAGAAATGATGACTCTTGAACTATTCTACCATCCATGCAAATGTCACTCAAATGAGCAGTGGCAGCAAAAAAAAAAGCAATGATCTGAAAACCACATTTGCAAAGATAAACAACATTTTCGATTTCACTCGTGAAACACAAACACAAACTTTCTGAAAAACAAACCGGGCTGTAAGTTGATAGGAAATTGTTTGATGCCTTCTGGCCAACACTCTGCTAATCCACCTGGAATTCAAATGAATTTCAGCCTCGACACACCCTGAAACTTTGAAACCTGGCAGCCAATTGCACACAGCAGCGTCCCACAAACAATCATGGATTGAGTGACCAAATTGTTAATATATATATTTTTGAAGGGATTATTACTCCCGGAAAAGTGAACCGCCAACCGACTAAGAACCGGGTTCCTACTTATTGCCCGGTAAACAGAGGCGTGTGTGTGTGTGCGGAGTAAGGAAACTTACCTAATCTTTCGCCCTGACCTGCCTGGGAATCGAAACCCGATTCCTCTCACTTACGTGGCAGGTAATAGGCGACAGGACTCCAGATCACGCACTATTGATGAGAATTGTGTGAGGAAGAGGTTGAATCGGTGCTGTACTCAGTGCTACAGAGCTCTGAGCTGCTATCAACATATTACCGTTTGGTTTCAGGGGAAGTTCCTGACTTGCGTTACGGCTCAGGCTTCTGGAAGGTCCAGCGAATCCTCTGATCTTTGAGGGACTTACATAAGCTCAATCACCAAAATTAGTTTCACAACCTGTCGCGTGCTTGCTAAAAATAACAGTTCACTGGTTTAATGGTTGACAGGAAATCAGCGGACACAGCAAAACTTTCCACTCTTTCACGCGAAAGCAAAGGCGCTTCTACAGAACTTTGTGGGCAGTGCAAAATGTCCAGACACTTAAGTGAAGAGACGCCAGAGCTTTGGCTTCGGTTATTCTTGTTTGCAGACCAAGAGCTTTCAACCACTTACGTCCTGAAGCTCTGAAACACTCTCCCTCCACTACTCCCCTTTCTCTTTCAACCTCTACGGCCCTTATCATAGCAAATCATAATAAATAATCCTTGCAATTGATATTGTGCTTTTCACATTGGGAGGATGTATCAGAGTGCTTCGTAGGATTTGCTGTGACTTTTCTGTGGTGACTATATTTTATTTGCAAACACAGGCAGTTCGCACGCAGCACTGTCTCAACATCAGACGTGGAGCGAGTGACCAATTTTATTTCGGGGGGGGATTGCTGGCCAGGACACCTGGAGCGAGAAACAGCCTTCTCTTTTTTGAATGGGGATCTTTAACGTGCGCCCGATCAGGCAGACGGAGCCTCAGCGTAATGTGTCATCTGAAGAACACCACTCCTAACCAAGCAGAGCTTCCCCCAACACTGCAGCAGGTCTGGCGGCCTCGACTACGTGTGTTCAAAGTCCTGTCGTGTGGTTTGAACCCACAACTTTTTGACTCAGGCAAGAGTGCTATCGACACACGAGGCTGACGTATCCATGTGATGACAAGTGTGGGATGTTCTAGCATTTTGAGTTCAGTGACACGTGGCCAGATTTTGACGTTGAAGGGACCGAAAGAGGAATTTGGAGGCAGGTGTGTGTTTGTGGGTGAGACAGTGCAAACAGAACTGAGCGGCTAGAAATCTGACTGAGCAAAGGAAGCATTGGCTTGCACTGCACTTTAAAAGCCTTTTTATTACTTTTGCAACATTAACCATCGCCTCGCACAGCTCCGCAGGTCGTGTCTTGACCCTCGAAGAATCGAACCTTAAGATCTTCGCCCAAACCCGGTTGTCTTGTTCTCTTTCGGACAGCCAGGCCCGAAACCCATCAACAACAACAACTTGCATTTACACAGAGCCACTGACGCAGGGGTGGCCTCCCGGAGCACTTGACGGTTAGCAGATCTTAAGGAGTAACCAAAGCGGGCGGAGTTCCACTTGCACACGCCACCCACACGGGATACTTTCCGTCAGGCTGACTGCGACTTCGCGAGGATTGGGTGGCGGAATGTGCGACTGGGGACGGGTGGCAACAAAAATCGCCAGCGAGAGAAACCCTGGTGGGAAACAGCCGGTTGCCAAGCCGGTAAGGTCACAGAGGTATTCAATGAGCAAAACTTGATACGTGTCCAAGTTGTGGTGGTGAAGTGACTAAAAGCAATGCTCACGGTTCTGCTCACGGACTTTACCGGCTTGGTGCCGTCCAGAAGGGAATCTTTACTGGGAATTTCGCAAGTCGCAATTGGCGGAACAAATCTGGTTTACGAATATTACTAATTGTACACTCCATTTCCACCCCCCATCCTCCCACCAATCTACCTGATATAACACATCTCAGTACCATGTGGGGGGAGGTGGGGTGGGGGCGGGGATCTTGTTTCTATTCACAAGAGCAGCATTGTTTGGGGGTGGTGGGGGGGGGGCTAGAGAAATCAGGAGTCTAAGTTCTCATCCAGAATACACGGGGAGATTGAGGGGCCGGGGGAGGGGAGAAGGAGAATAAAATAACTTAAGAAAGGAAAACAAACGAATGACTGAAACTCAAAGGGAAAATGTGTTCCACTGTGGGAACACAAGACGTGAGGTTTGGTCTCAGCTCAGAAACGAACACCAGCAACGGCCACACAGGGGCAACAGAATTCTAGGTAACAGACGACAGGGTAAGTTGGTGAAAGAAAGTGAAATGTGATATTCAGACTGTACAACTAAACACGAACAACAATATTTACACATCTCCAGCGCGACAGAGGAGCAAATTCCACCTCACCTCAGCCTGTCAGACTTCTTAACTTGTGGAACATTCTTCTTTCGTCTCCATCCGGGAGACGATCCCTTAAGGAGGGACAATAAGATGGGGGGGGGGGGGGGGAAACAAAATAATAAACAGGGAAAAAGGTCACAGCGCCAAGGTGGGTCTTAAACGGAGTCAGTTTCAAAGGCAGTGGAGACATTTGAACACGTCATGGTAACAGCTCAGAGGGCACCTCAGTTTCCATGAGATAAGCTGATTGTAGATAACTCATACGCCCAACACTAGCCAGAGTGGGTGGTCATTATATCAGTAATGGCAGCTCTTCCTCTTCTTGGGTGGCCTGGGTGGCAGTTGTCCGTTTAGGGGCAGGGTGTTGGTGCTGTAGTCCGGCTATCAAGAAAACACAACAAACACATCGTTACACCTGTTCGGAAGAGATCTTGACATGCTTGACGGCATTTATAAAGCGCTCGTAACATAACAGTGCTACAATAGCCCTCGCATTCGATGTAGCACTCTTATCAAGTCGTGAAAACGTCTCTAAGTGTTTCTCGGGATTTATTTTGAAGTGTAGAATTTGTGTATTTTGCAGATAAACGCGGCGGCCAATTTGCACACCGCAATGTCCCACAAACAGCCGTGGAGGTGAGTGACCAATTTTGTCGGGGGGGAGGACTTTACAGGCCAGGACTTTACAGAGGGAGAGAGAAACTGCCTTCTTTTTTTATATAGTGCCACGGGATCTTTAACATCCACCTAAACAGGCAGATGAGATCCCAGTTTAATGTCCGGTGTGAAGTTCGGCATCTCTTACGATGAGGACCACTGCTCCAACCCCCGCCCCAGCAGTGCACTGCTGTGTCAGTCTAGACAAAGTACCAATGTGGTGCTTGAAGTCATAACCATCTGATTCAGAGGCAATACATGCTACCAATGAGCCAGGCTGACTCAACAACAACAACAACAACAAGATTACATTTGCATAGCTTGCCGAAGGGAAAAGGTCACAGCGCAAAGGTGGGTCTTAAACGGAGTAGGTTTCAAAGGCAGTGGAGACATTTGAACACAACATGGTAACAGCTCAGAGGACACCTCAGATTCCACGAGATAACCTGATTGTGGATAACTCGTAGACCCAACGCTAGCCAGAGTGGGTGGTCACTATATCAGTAATGGCAGCTCTTCCTCTTCTTGGGTGGCCTGGGTGGCAGTTGTCTGTTCAGGGGTTGGGTGTTGTCAGGTTATCTCATGGAAACTGAGGTGTCCTCAGTTCAAACGTCAGCACTGCCTTTGAAACTGACTCCGTTTAAGAATCCCAGCGCAGTGACAAATAAATACCTTCTGCAGGTGAAACAGCCAGCTCTGATAATCATCTGGCTTCGAACAGGAAACCAACACAGACTCCATCATGTTACCTAAAGGGAAAGAGAATTGCACCCAGAGATCAACAACGTCAACAATTTGCATTTATACAGCCCCCTTCACGTGGGGCAGGGCAGGGCCTCGGAGCTTAAAAGAAACACCATTATCGATGACGATCTGAAATAAGAACAATAATAATAATAATCATCCTTACATTTGATACAGCGCCTGTCACGGTTGGTGACGCGAACGAGCTTCACCGGATTTACTGTAAAGTGCAGTGGCTTTGTAGGCAAACACAAACACAACGGCCGATTTGCTCTTGCAATGACCCACTAATTTTATTTGGGGGATTGTTGGCCAGGACACCAGGAGAAATTCCCTTCTCTTTTACATCCACCTGAACAGGCAGATGGGACCTGGGTTTTATTCCTCGTCTGAAGGACGGCACCTCCAATAATGCAGCAAACCCCCAGCTCTGCTTTGGATTGTCGGCCTGGACTACATGAATTCCAAGTCTTGCCGTGGGGCTTGAACCCACAACCTTTTGACTCGGAGGCGAGATTCTTACTGACTGAGCCAGGCTGACGCACATAAAAACTGCGAAATGCACGGGGAGTCAATCGAGGTTTCTTTTTTTTTATCTCCGAGAAGCAAATCGCACGTTCTCCACTCACAAACCTTGTCCGGAGAAATGGGGGATAACGACTGACCTGTAATCTCAAACTCCAGGTGATTTAAGAGAGCTGATCTTTCCAAAGCCCTGATGCTGTGCGTAGGAAGCCTGCCCTGTTTTGAACAGAAAAATTCTTATTATTGCATTAACTTGGAAATGACTCCTCTGAACCCGCTCTTATTTCGGCAAACGTAATTGTTGTTAATAATAATAATAATAATCCTTGCATTTGATATAGCGCTTTTCACGTCGGGAGGATGTCCCAAAGCGCTTCACAGAACACACTGTAAAGTGAATTGACTGTATATTTGTGGGCGAACGCGGCAGCCAATTGCGCACAGCAATGTCCCACAAACAGTCGTAGATTGAAAATGACCAATTTATTATTGTTTTTTTTTTGGAGGGATTATTATTTTGTACCTCATACTGAACGCTCGTTTTCTGATCGTCAGTGGAAAGAATGACAAGCTCGTCCGAAAACAAAATCAGGATCCTCTCTTCAAACATCTGAGCAGGTAAAGCAAAAGGTTCATTAGGTTCAGAGAAAAGGATGGTCCAGTGAGAAATATCTCCACCAAGTGGGTAACTCAACTTTTAGTTAAAAAAACCTTACAATATGGATTTTGCTTTTTGGAAACATCGATATATTTTGCCATTGTATCTCTTTGTGTATCTCAGCTTGGCTCAGCCTTTGGTCGGAAGCTTATGGGTTGTGTGCGTTTGATGCACTCTGGCTTCTAACATTGCCCACATTGGTGACTTTGAGCACATAGTCAAGCCTGACACTCCAGTGCAGTGCTACAGAAGCTCTGGCTGCATTGTTAGAGGTGTTGTCCTTTGGCACTCACACCCGCGACAGTCCCCTTCCCCCAACAGCAACACATTACACTGCCCAGCAAGACAAGAAAAGTGCCGTATTAATGCAAATTACACTGTAATTAGACACACTGGGACTCTTTGACCTTGGAAAGAACCAGGCCAGAGGACACCTACAAGAGCTCCTCACTGATTGCTGAAAATGCCTGTAATCATTAGCATTACCATCGAGGGAAGAAGATGAGACAGACCTGGCTCTCAGCGCCCCTGAACTGCACCATGGACAGGAAGGTGATTTTTCCCAGGTGCTGGATTGGAGTTCCCTCCCAGCCTCTGATAGGGTTCTGCAGCAAATACGTCTTTAGTTTCTGCTTCTTCCAAAGCTCGTCGCAGGGGACCTGTCAACCACAATCCATCGGGAATCAGCATTAAACTGGGGACAAAGACGAAGGGAAGAAGGGAAAAAAACAAGGCGTCCAAAAACACAGAAAAGGGGGTTGGAAACGCTACATTAGGAAAATAGGACCAGGAGGAGGCCATTCAGCCCACTGAGCCTGTTCCACCAGTTTATTAAGATCTTGTCAGGTCTTTTAATCCAAATGCTTTCGCCGTATGCCCTGTACAGTGATAAAATCACTACATGATACAAATAATAATCTTTGCATTTCATACTTGCGCCTTTCACATCAGGAGTATAATCTCAAAGCGCTCACAGGATATATTCTAAAGTCTGTATGTTTTGTTGGCGAACACGGCAGCCAAATTGCACACAGCGGTGTCCCGCAAACAGACACAAAATGAATGACTGAGTTTGCCTGTGAGATTGTTGACCAGGACGTTGGGAGAGCGAAACTACCTTCTCTTTTTGGATAGTGCCGTCGGATCCTTCACGTCAACTTGAACATACAGAAGGGACTTGAACCGTCTTATCCGAGGACTGACTTTTTAACGGTGAGGGGGCTACAGATCCATTTAGTTCAACTCATTCTAATGATGTTAGTGCAAAAATGATTGGTTCTTAAGTCAATTTGCAACACAGCAGCGGAGCTCATTTACAAAACGAACTACCGTCACCTAGTGGAGAGGGATGGTACTGCACACCACTGACACAACACTCGTGTCAACAAATTCATCCTCAGAAAAACTCACAACTTCACGAGATTAGTCTCGGGGTAAGAAGACCCTTCAGCCCATCTGATCCTATCCTACCAGAACACCCACCTCCCATCCTCTTGGTAACCTGTTTCAGTCGTTAATTATCCTCTGGGTGAAGATAAACTTCCTGAGGTCCGTAATAAAATTGTTGTTCTTTGAGACTCTAAATCTGTCTTCTCTCGTTCCAATGTCTTGGTGCATCTAAAAGTATTGTTCTGCGTTTACTTTTTCAATCCCATTTTTTAAAACAAACGTACACACCTCTAAAAGGATCCACCAGAGCATCTTCTCTCAAGCCCGAAGAGCCTTAGTTTTCTAAGGGTTCATAGGCTGCTGTAACACTATGGACGTGATACAGATCTGCATCAGATGCAAGGATCATTATTAAGCAGCAGTTTGGCCGTTTCCCAAGAGCGGTGACTGGTTTTCTGTTCAGATAACTATTTGGGGAGGACAAGGTTGCGGGGCTATGGGGAGAGAGCGGGGGCGTGGGGTTAAAATGGATAGCTCTTTTCAAAGAACCGGCACAGACACGATGGCCTCCTTCTGTGCTGTATAATTCTATGATTGTGCATCCCCATAGCGCAGTTAGTCGTATCACAACTGATATTTTATTTTCAGCACATCCTATTATAACACAATGAGTTTATTCGTCCCCCACCCCCAAGAAAAATGCCTGCAAATATTATGTTGCTTACCAGGATTGATAATAATTCTTGCCTTTGTGGTCGATACACAGAGGCCTTCTTCACCCGTCTTGGCAAATGAGCCATCCAGACGTTAAACTCTTCCTGACTTTCACATTTTATTATCCTGGATTCGAACATTGACCCTGGAGATGGGACACAAGACGAGGGAATGAGATGATGAGGTGAGAAAGGCATAGCAGTCTAACAGAGTAGGGGTCGTTATGAAAAATTTCTCAGAGGAGAGGGGGAGTCCACCTTCAGTGGGGGAAACAGTTAATATATCAGATTATCACTAAAATCACTAAATTCACAAGGTCTCAAAATAATAATAATAATCCTTGCATTTGATACAGCGCTTTTCACGTCGGGAGGACGTCCCAAAGCGCTTCACACAACACACTGTAAAGTGAATTGACTGTATATTTGTGGGCGAACGCGGCAGCCAATCGCGCACAGCAATGTCCCACAAACAGTCGTAGATTGAAAATGACCAATTTATTATTGTTTTTGGTTTTGGAGGGATTATTATTAGGCTCTGTGTGGAGTAAGGAAACTTGCCCAAGGTTTCGCCCTCTGCCTGGAATTGAATTCAGGTCTCTCACTTGCAAAGCGAGTGCTCTAACCACTGAGCTACAGGACTCCACTGTGTCTCTTTGACTGCACTTTTGGTTATCTCAAGGCTATTTCAAAATACATTTTAAGAAGCATTTTCAAGGAGGTTGATGGATTCATTGGGCAAGAATGCACAAGGTATCCTAGCTGGACAAGCAACAAACTATGCGGTTACATCTGCAGGATCCCAATACGTTAATTATTTCCCTCTCCCTTTCTATCACTCTTACTCTTCTCCACATGAAGGACGTTATATAAATGTAAGTTGTTGTTGTTGCTTGTTCTCCCCCCCCCAACCACCCCATGTCTCTCTGTCTCGCTAACAAGAGGTTTTACAGGGCCAGAACTTACCGGCGATTTCAAAGGTCACGTCTCCTAATGTCTTAACCGATATTCCCGACAGAGGTAAGAGTCCCTGGGAATCACAGGTTATTTACTGTAAAGAGAGTGCGTTTTGCAGGCGAAAAAAGCAAACGTTTGGGAAGGGTGCTTTATGAATGCAGGATGGTGGTGTTGTGCTTGGAACTGACCAGTTGTAGGTGTTGGTGTTGGTGTTAATGTTAGACGCGAAAAAAAAAGGTTCGCAAATGCTGTGTGTGACGATCATCGCGAACAACCGTTATAACGTCAAAACTCGTAATTTACACTGAACAGTGCAAACGTTATTTTGTGCCTATCTGCAGGAGGTGTGATGGAAACCACATTTGCTTCCTCTTTGAGCGAGTTCCAATCAGAGAACCCAAGTCATGCTTGTTGGCTTGGGAGGCAAATGGTGCTGTGTTGCCATCTGGCAGCTGAAAGCAAGCATTTCCAAAGAGCAGACAACAGTCTGGTCTTTAGGCCTGAGGTTAGCAGAACAGTAAAAGGTAATTTGCGATTCACGAAGAGTGCGACTAGTGCCTCTACAGTGATTATTAATAATAATAATCCTTGCATTTGATATAGCCATTTCACGTCTTCTCGACGTCTCAAAGCGCTTCACAGAATATGCTGTAAAGTGAATTGACTGTATATTTATGGGCGAAATGCGGCAGTCAGTTGCACACAGCAGCGTCCCACAAACAGTCGTGGATTGAAGTGATCAATTTGTTACTATTATTTTTTTCGAAGGAATGATTAAGACCGGAAAAGCGATCCACCCATCAACTAACAACTGGGTTCCTACTGACTGCTCGGTAAACAGAAGCGCGTGGTGTAAGGAAACTTGCCCAACATTTCGCCTTGCCAGGAATCAAACGCAGGTCTCTTGCTTGTGAGTCAAGAGCTCTAACTACTGAGCTACAGGACTCCACATACACTAAATATCACAAAGTCCACTGATTAACTATTACTGGCATTACTAGTTTTGTTAACACCGGTGTTATTTGTAAGCGAAGAGAGAAGGCTTTACCTGGTAAATAAACTTGCTTCCCTCGTCTTCCATTGCCAGTAAAAGTAGGTGGGATTGAAAGAGAAAGAGATACCTCTTGCCGTCTTCCTGCAGAAAGTTAGAAAGACATTTGTTAGGGATCAGACTAATTCAATGTCTTCCCCCTACTTTACAATATATCCTCTGGAGCATTTTGGGATGTCCTCCAGATGTGAAAGTTCTATAGTAATTGTAAGCATTATTATTATTATTATTGGTTCTTACAGAGTGCATTGGAACGACAAGGTGTCAAGTTACATTCGATCCCCTGGGGGATGGGAAACCCATGAAGCCAAGTGAGGATAGAGATGATGGGCTTCAGGAGACTGGTGCAAGAGAGAAACAGAGCTGCAGAGATGTGGAATGGTTTGCAGCTTGGTGTATAGGGAGGGGGCTGTCAGCTTGTGCAGGAAAATAAAGGAGGGTCTATTAGATGTGAGCGGTGGTACCTGAGTGTGTCGGTCATAAAGAATGACTTGAGAAGCCCACACGATTTCACCAAGAGCCTCGAGTTTCTCTCCTTCCCAGCCACTCACTGGCTCGCTATACAGCGTCCTCCCCAGTTCTCTGCATGACCTTCGCCGGTGAAGATCCTGAAAGACAGACAATGCGCTAAACGTAAATAGCTCCATTCATCCAGAGCAAACGTTAGCGCTCGTGAACCTGCAATGCAATTACAATAAAACAATTCCATTTATACAGCGCCTTTCACTACAGGAGGACGTCTCAGGCGAAACGATGAATAGAAGCGCAGTCAAAGAGGTGAACCAGGTAACGATTGTTTGATGCCGAGGTTGGGTGGAAGAGGAGGTAGGAAAGCAAACAGACAACCTTCTTAAAAAGGGTCCTTACGTGAGATGCTGATTCAAATTTATCTTCCATCGAACTCTCATTTACGTTGAATCGTTCCTGAAAGACAAGCAGATTAGGGAACAGTGGTTTTGAACCTTGATGCATGAACCAAAAGAGTAAAGCCACAGTTCCAGTGCCCTTGGTGCAGTTTGTCCAGTGTCTAATGTGTCTGTGTCCAGGTCCATGTGTGTGTGTGTACGTGGCTGTTTGTATGTGTCAACATTCCTGATGAGGATGCATGTATTTGTGTAAAATGGAGAGCCCATTATCCCCAGTAATTGGGGATTGGTCCCATTGTGGATATGAAAACAGTGCAGATATTAGGGGTGTTTGTCTATGGGTCTCTTTCTCTGTCTGTCTGTGTTGTAATGCAAGTAGGTGGCTAGAGACAGACACACGGAAATGTTCAGTGACAAAGATATGTCAGACACACTCACAGACACTCCCTCACAGACAGAGAGACACACACACACACACGCACACACACACACACACACATTCATGTGCACGCTTACGGACACATGTAAACACATAAAGCATATGCACACTCCTACACAGACACATGCAATCTCATTCATGAACACGCGCACTCACACAGGTCAGGCAGATACAATTGGTCTGAAGCAGATCCTGTGGTGAGTGACATTGTCCTGTCTGATTGAATCAGAGGGCGGACACTTTGTCAGCCTCAATGTCTTAGCCAGAAAGGGACATGGCATGAGCGCTCACCTCTTCAATATTTATTAGAGTATCTAGCTCCTGGGGGCAGGCAACTTCCTTCCCGCACACTGGAGGTATAGATTGCCTTCTGTGAAACAAAGCAACCGATTAATCCTTACATTTGGGTATAGCACCTTATCACAGGGGAGTAGCTCAACATTACCACAACCTGCCCGAGGCTGAATGATATCTGGATGAAGTTTGCAATCGTTACAAACAGATTTCTTAATCAGCAATGGGTAAAAATCAAAACATCAAAGCGCTCAACAAGTACCGACTGTCCAGTATCGCGATGGCTTTTTGCTAGCAGCCACTTTGCGCACACCAAACACCCACAAACACAAAGGCCGGTGATCCGGAGAAACTCCCTTCTTGTTCCGAACAGTGTATGTCTAACACCTTGTCTGATGAGTGCCTCCTGCAACAGTGGAGTATCAGAGTATTTGTATAGACCTCCTAACCACAACCTATTTACACAGAGGGCTGCTAACCGAGCGAGGCTGACACACCAGGGCCTGGGCTCTGTGAGCATCAGCTGCTGTTTGATATCTGGCCCACACTTGCATTTCCCAGTAGAGATCTCGGGACATTCTTGGTGGCCGGTTTGTCCCTTCTCTGCTCTCGTTAACAACACTAACTAGAATACCGGTCAGGCAGATCAGTATCACGCTCCTGCTCCGTCGTTTCCTAGTTTATCTTCACATTCCTGTGGATTCAGTGCACAAGAGAAAAGCTGAACAGTTGGTTTACAAGTACAGTAAAACTCGCATCAGTCTGATCTGTATAAATTGTATATTTGCCCAAGCCTCCTTCAAGAGACTATATTTTAGGCAAGTTTGAAATAACTAATACTTTGCATAAGTTAGATTAAATGCAAGGTCCCAGCTGATAAATAACAATAATAATCCTTGCATTTGATACAGCGCCTTATCGCGTCTTCGAGACGCCTCAAAGCGCTTCACCGGACACACTGTAAAGTGTAATTGCTGAGTGTTTTGTGGGCGAAACGCCCCCCACAATATGGCTGATGTAAAGTCTTGTTGTAAAGATAAAGTCGCAGACCTGCAGGTGCTTGGTATTTGTACCAGATCCTCTTCTTGTTCATTGTCAGCTCCAGCGCAGCGTGCCGTCACACTAATGCAGCCCATTCCTGATGTTCCAATCACTGACGGGCTCCGAAGGTTGCAGATTTCAAGGCCGTCTAGAGCGATGTCCAGCTGCTGCCTACATCGTAAATTCTTCTCGACCTGGTTGACAAAACTCAACACAGGAAGTAGCCCGTTTCAAACTAAAAATAAAAACCTCTTTCTTTCCAGCTCACCAGTAAAACATACCGTCCTCTCTGTCTCTTTCTTGCTTGGTGCGAGTGCAGAGGGTAAACTTGAATGTGATAAAATAAACTGTTGCGCAGGTTCTCTTGGGTTTGTCTCTTCTACTCTGTTCCGAGAACTCGCAGACACATGCTTCTTCCTGTATCGTGCACAAGTTTTGTTCTTACGACACAGTGACATAGTTAATTTCCTTTTTGCTGTGCGCGAGTGTGTGAGGGGCAGTGACATTGCTTTTTGTTGTGGATCTGTTGACGTGCGAATCTGTTACAAGTTCCCGTTTTGATCCTAAAACTAACCTGAAGCTCAAACAGGTCACATTCGGACTACGCTTCTCTATTTGTCCATTTAATTCATAATAATAAACCTTGCATTTAATACAGCGCCTTACCACCCCATTGAGATGCCTCAAAGTGCTTCACAGAATATCCTGTAAATTGGAGTGACTGTGCATTTTGTGGGCAAACTCAGCAGCCAATTGCGCACAGCAGCGTCCCACAAACAGTCGTGGATTGAATGACTCAATTATTATTATTTATTCTTTTGGAGGAATTATCGGCCCTGGAAAGCGATTGGCCAATTGACTAGGGAGAAGGGGGCTAAGTGACCATAGAAGCAGGCGAAGAGGTAGGTTTTAAGGTGGGATTTAAAGATACAGAGGGGACGAGGCGGAAGCAACAGAGGCAGGAGGAGTTCCAGAGGTTAGGAGCTGCATGACCAATGCTGGGGTGATAGCTATGAATCAGCCTCTCCTCTGGACTTCATGTTGCACACTGAAAAATATCCTATTGATCACCATCCTCAATCTTGCCCCAATATGGAAATTACGAAGGCTTTCTTAATCCTGCAGAGGGTTTCGAAATGTATAAGTGACTCACGAGCAACAGGATCTAACAGCTCTCAGCGTCTTTATCTCACTTCTTTTGCTTTCATCATGGGCTGGGAGCATTGTGATAGGCATCAGCTTTGCGGTATTTAGGCCAGGGCGCACACACACACACACACACACACACACATATACGCACACCCATGCCCATGTACGCACATACACGTGATCATAATTCAACAAAGCATGGCTCGACAGTGATCAATCTTAAGGCTGAACTACTCACTGCTTCCATTGCACGTAACTATTGGGAGGACAAAGCATTGTAATAATTCTGATTCCATTCATCAACTAGACTTTCTGAAGTTTCTAATTCCGTCTACACACTTTATCTGTGGCCCCTTTAGAAGTCTGAGCTTTTTTTTTTTTTGAAACTGACCATAATCTATAGGTGGCACCTACTGCCTGGTGTTGAAATATTGCTATCTGTGCAATCATAACACCCAGTGCTCGGTCGTGACTAAGCACACACATTCGGTTGTGTCGAGCGCATTTGTTGTTTGTTATTTGTTATTTGTTGCCATTCACGGCCTCGCTCCCTCCTACCTCTCCAACCTACTATCCCCCTACCTACCTGCCCGTACCCTCCGTTCCTCTGGCTCTGGTCTGCTCCACGTCCCCCGCCCCAACCGCCCTACCATCGGTGGTCGGGCCTTCAGCCTCTCAGCCCCAGGCTCTGGAACTCCATCCCCCAGTGCCTTCGCCGCTTCCTCCCTTTCCTCCTTCAAGGCCGGTCTCAAAACCTTTCTCTTTGACTGTGCCTTCAGCTCCCCTCTCGACTCTCTTCCCCCTCCTCGCTCCCTCCCTTCCCTTCCCTCACCCTGACCATTTCCCCCCCTCGCTCCTCCCTTCCCACCCTGACCATTTCTGCTCGGGTCATGACCCAACTCTGCAGTGCCTTGGGACGTCCTCCTGACGTGAAAGGCGCTTTATAAATGGAATCTTGTTGTTGTTGTTGTTGTTGTTGTCTCCGTTTGCATTAGTTTCCAGCAGGCTTAGACCAGCGCAGCAGACAGCCACGCACTCACCCTCAACAACGCCCCCTTGAACAAGTGCCGCAGGGTGGCAGTTCCCCTCGGTTTGTATCTGGAGAAGAAATTCGCGGGAAATGAGTTGTCTGGTTCAGTTGCTAGGACTCTCGCCTCTCTGAGTCAGAAGGTTGTGGGTTCAAGCCCTCACGTCAGGATTTTGAACCCGCAGAGTGTCCAGTATCTAGGCTGACACTGCCGTGCAGTGCACTGTATTGTTAAGAGATGCCGTCATTCGGATGAGATGTTAAACCAAGGTCCAATCTGCCTGTTCAGGTGGATGTTAAAGATCCCCTGGCCCTCTTCAAAAAGAGATGAGAGGCCAACAATTCCATCTGATAAAATTGGTCAGTCAATCTCCCTGCTGACTCAATTTGCTGAGCGCAACCTGACTGCTGCTTTTGTCTACAAATACCAAGTCACTCGGTGTCAGCAATTGCTGGAAAGCACTTGGAAGATGTTTCAACTTTAGAAAAGTGTATCACCTGCAAAGATTGTTATAAGCGCATCTCTTCAGAGGAAATGGCCACATCGAGGGATAAATCTCACAAAGAGAGTTCCAAAAGCTGTTTCGAAGTGAAGATTTCTTCATTGAGCAGCTAAATAATGTAGCCGTTTCTAAAACTTCACTGGTAATTAGTCTCAATTATGGTCACTTCTTGGGTAGGGAAACATTTTTGCTGACAGCAAAGTCCCACAAACAGCCCTGGGGTGAATGATTCATTTATCCTGAGGATTATTGGCTAGGTCACAGGGAGAAACTTCCCTTCTCTTCCCTGCCGTGGGATCTTTGAAGTTCTCCTGAAACGGGGCAAAAAGAGAATGGCAAAGTCTCACCATATGTGGTGTGTGCTTTTATTTCTTTTAATCAGGTTCTTAAAGGAATGAAAAACGCTAGCACACATATACGCAACACAATAACCAGATTGACACAGATTATACCACTCAAGTGCTTTAAACACCACAATGTTCACCCTTTTGAGTAGTATTAACAAAACCCAACTATCGGTTTAAAATAGCAAACGACTCATACAGAGGTAAACAGGACCAGGAGGTGATGTGACTGGTAGGGTTTTAATTTTCTCCAAATAAAGCAACAGAAGCAATGATATCTCTGTCCATCCACAAATGCACTATCATTTCTACAGTGTTAATGAGCACAACTGATCCAGTTTCACATCTCACTGAGGTAACGTTTTGCTCACACAGTCAGACGTGGGGGTGAAATAGTTGGCTGCCCGGTAAGAAGGAAGCAGTACAAAAAAAAAGTTTTATTTCCCCTCTCCTCCCATCCAAAAAAAAAAGAAAAAATAACTTCTTATGAGCTAAAACTGGGTTGAATTTGCTTCTGTGATTTGGATACTTTGTCATGTCATCGTACTTTGCTGGCATCAAATCCTGCCCACTCTGGGGGATATTGCTCTGGGGGGGTTGGTTCACGTTGAACTCAGAGGTTCTTGGTCTGTCCTTCTTCAACGTCATCCAACTGCCTGTTGACGCGCATTGAGTAGAGCGAAGTGTTGACCGGAAACAGTTTGTTCACTGAGGTTTTGCGGGGCGGAATCAGAAGAATCCGCTTGGTAAACGGGGCCTTATATTGTGCCACGAACCCCTTTTCCTTAGAAGTAACTAACTCCAAACTAGACTTTAGATGGCTGTGTTCGACCGAAGAGGCTCCAGACATTTGGCTGCTTGACTGGAGGCTGCTCTTGCTTTTGGTCTTCATGGTGTACAGAGTGTGTAACCGAGCTAGTTCGGGAAGTGGGCCGTGAAAGGATGAACTGCTCTTCTGATGAGGCACTTTTGGAAGCCCGCTGGAATCCGCGGCAGCTCCAGCCTCGGACTTTTTCTGGTGCTTCAACTCAAGTCGTTTCAAAGGGTTCAGGGATAACTGGCCAGTTCGCTTCAGGACCGATGACTTCTCTGCCGTTTTGGTGTCTGTCTTTGCCCGTACGATATTCTTCACATTGGGCTCCGTAGAGCAAGCGTTGTATAACAGGACAAAGTCCTTTTGTGCCTGAAGTGGCGTGATGGTCGTTTGTTTGTTACTTTTCGTGAATATTTCAACAACCAAATCTACCAACAAAACAGACACAGGCTTCAGAAATGCTCACCCGACAACTTGCAGGTCTTATTATTCACTTTTATGCCTGAAAACTCCCCCTCTGTAATCGCTTAATGATGGCAAAGGGACACCTTACCGAGGGCTTCGCTCACGAGGCTGGGGATGACGTTTCTGAGAACGTCGCAGGTTCTGTACAGAGATGGGTTGCCATTCATCTCCAGTAACCAAACCTGCAAGCAGATTCAAACACATTCCTGTTAACCCTTTTGAGTACATCTTCCAGCTTCCGCTTTCAGGACAGAAACATTTCTCTCCGGCCTCACTTGCCCGGTAGTAACTGCAGAGTGAGGCTTTCCTTGCCCACCTGCAGCCTCTAGACATTTCTAAAGAGCCATTGCAATAACGTGGCAATGCTCATAATAATAATAAGCCTTATAATCCCTTGCATTTTGATACATAACGCCTCATCACTTTGTTGAGATGTCTCAAAACACTTCACTCTACACTGTATACTGTAAATTGAATGACTGTGTACTTGTGGGCCCGAATTGCGCCAGCAATGTCCCACAAACAGCCAACTGTTTGTGAATAACCGACTCTTATCTGGGGGATTGTTGGCTGGGAAACCTGAGTGAAATTCCTTCTCTTTAGTGCACTGGGATCTTTAACATCCACCTGAACAGGCAGACAGGATCCCGGTTTAACGTCTCATCTGAAGGGCAGCCCCTCCAGCAAAGCAGGTCTCCCCAGCATTGTAATGGCGGTTCAGGCGAGACTGAGAGCTTCAGTGGCAGTGTGGAACTTGAACCCACATTACCTCAGTGTGAGTGTTACCAATTGTGCCAGGCTGAAACCTTGTGAATTGGTGTGGGTTCCCTTATACGGAACGTCAGAACTGGTGAGCTCTTACTTTCATTTCTCTAAACCGCATTAACAGGAAACCCATCGTCTATCCCTCTGCTGTCTGGATTATAGCAATCACTAACTCAACAGAATTATGTAGAATGCTACAGCACGGAAACAGGCCATTTGGTGTAACTAGTCTGTGCCGGTGTTAACACTCCACATGAGCCTCACCCTCACCCTCTTAGCCTTCTCTCCTTCGCCCCTCTATTCCGTTCCTCTTCCTCTTAAGTTTGTTAAAGCTTTCTGGTTTAACCACAGCTTCTGACAGTGAGTTTTCAACATCCTCTTGCGTAAAGAGGTTCCTCCTAAACTCTGTCTTTAGATCTGCTATTGGCTAACTTATATTTATGGGCCCTTCTTCTGGACTCACCAAGTTTATTAATCTAAAACCATGTGGTGCTCCACTTGCACTTGGCTGATTTTTGCATTGTCTTAACATTTGTCCCCTTACCTCCAAATACAGACTAATTCTAAAGCCGTCGTACATTACCATGTGAGCTACTACTTCGTGTGACTGTTGCAGGCTGCAAGTTAAACTCTTAGCATGTGATTAAAAACACGCAACAGATTAATGTAACGTTGTGAGTATTTTAGTTTTAACTTTGTGTTTGGGATTTAGCAACAGATAATATTCGCATTCAATTTAATGCCTGGCCGAGTTTGGGAAGGAAAATCGAGCTCTCGATTTTATAGAGTAAAGAATTCTTAATTCTTCTTCTTCTTCTTCAAATACATCGACTCAAATTAGTTCATAAGCCTTTCCAAAGTCAATGCTTTAAACAACCACCAGATGGTGCAGAACTACAGTAGAACCTCACTAATCCGATCACTCAAGCGACTGGACAAAAGTGACCAACTTAGCGAAGTGACCCAATTACTGAAACAGGTCGGGTGATTCAGGTCACTGATATAATGTTAAGGGCATTGGTCATGGGTAAGGCTGATGAACATCCAACAACCGTACCTCGCAATCTCACTAAAATGAAGGCATCGTCACGTTCAAAACAAAAGCGGTCATGTATCCAGCCTACCTCCCGACGTGAAAAACTCTATATCAAATGCAAGGATTATTATTATTATTATTTACCTTTTGAGAATGCAACCAACTTGTGTTCTGCCAATGCCATAGATCACAGTTAACTTTTGCTCTTATTGTTTTTGATTAAGTCCTCTCTCTCACGTAAGGATAGCTACATCCTTAGGATGCACCAAGACAGTAGAACAAAGCTTAGAGTTGCAAAGGGCAATTTCAGGACAGATTCCAGGAAGGACCTTCTTCCTTTATCCGGAGCCCTTCTTCATTGAAACCAATCTTGTAGTGACTCCGTACACACTATAACTCATTCAATTAGGTGACAAACCGTAATATCATTGCACATTTCTGACTAACATGATTTACGTGTTAAGGGTGATTAACATTCAATTTGAGCGTCCTGCAGTTCAGTGGTTAGAGAACTCGCCTTTCAATCAAGAGACCTGGGTTTGATTCCCAGCAGGGCGAAACCTTGGGCAAGTTTCCTTGCTCCACACGCCTGATAATAATCCCTCAAGAAAGAAAAACAATATAAATTTGGTCACTCAATCCACGACTGTTTGTGGGACGCTGCTGTGCGCAATTGACTTGCCGCGTTTCGCCCACAAAATATACAGTCAATTAACTTTACAATATATTCTGTGAAGCGCTTTGAGACGTCTAGAAAACGTGATAAGGCGCTATATCAAATCAAGGATTATTATTAAGTACACATGGCTCAATTTGCCTTTCTCAGATTACAGATTTATTAATCCAAACATTACTGATACAATCGCATGTGGATCTTAAACAAATCATTCTACCAGGTCTGTATGGCCTTATCACCGTGACAACAGCTAAAACATTCCCATTAATAAATCTACTGGATATCCTAATGGCTTTTAATTTGGTGATTTTAAGCTACATTTCCTTTCAAAAAGTTCAAAATTTTCTTCAGCCGTCTCCCTTTTCCAGCAATTCCGGCTGATGGGACTAATGCTGTTGCAGTAAGACAGGCAGTAAATCCTGGTTTAGGAACCACCTGCCTGAGGAAACTCACAAGAAGGTCATTGAGACCTTGATGTTATTGAGAAAAGGCAATCTTCCACAGTAATCTCAGCAGTCACCTTCTTCCCCCAATGACCAGTGACTTGAGAGATACAACATGTCGAGACATGAACTTTGTTTTTCGCTGTGTGCAATGAGAAGTGATTTGCAGCAAACAGCTTCTTACAATTGTCAGCAAAAGCTGCCAAAACCTCAGTAAGCAGAAGATCACAAAGTTGGTTAAGATGAAGATGTCCCTTGGACCCATCTGATCTCATCCTTCCAGAAACCCACCCTACCGTCTTTCCAACACGTCGTCAAACTGTTTTTAAACACGTTCGGCGTCCTGAACTCCATCGGCTTTCCTAGCAACCTGCTCCGTTCGTTAATTACCCTCTGCATAAAGAAAAACTTCACATTGTCTCTCCCGAATTTGCCCATTGCCACTTCAAACCTATGGCTAAAAGATCAGCTGATCAGTGAGCGCTGATTGACTGGTTCCGTGGCCTTTGGGAAAACATCTCCAGTGGAAGCCCAAAATCCCAGGACCCCACAGTTTGACACTGCTTCTGGTTTTCCGGAATCCTAAATCTGAACAGGGAATAACCCACACCCAGCCCTGCTACATGGATTCTCAACCATCTTTCTTTCAATGGCGGGGAAAATTGGAAGCATTTATTCATTATGGATGTCAGGCACATGGTTAATCACATGTTTGAATCATTTCAAACCTTTATATAAAAACTGGCTCTGGGGCAACAAAGTCCTTTAATTAATTAATCATAAAGGATGTTTGAACGAAAGGCGATCAGATGGCTCATTGTACTCTGGGATTAGTCACTGTGCAGGGTTTACACACTGATACAGCGAGCGGCCAGTTACTGAAACACGAGAGGGTTTAGTTTCCAATTCATTGCCATTCTCTTTCTCCCCATTCAGCGACAGGACAAGAGTGTGCATTGTCCGGGCCTGTGTCGTGTTTTGCGTTCATTAATGCTGTCCAAATCAATCATGGCCGGGTTCGTGCTGTGTTACATTTCTGTGGTTGGACTGCAGACTGCTAGGCAATAGATTGCGAAGCTACCAGAAAACACAGGTAACCAACACAAACCATTGCCTCATTATCTCCCTTTTTCTAAAAGTGTCCCAATATGGTTTGCTCTATAAATGCAATTTGCTGTTGTTGTCGTTGTTGTTGTATGCCTCACATGTACAGCGTGCAGGAAATGATGGCACTGACTTGGAAGTTGCAGTAAATCTGATCCGTTCCCCGTTTGCATTGTAAACAAGCCAGCACTATAAATGAAGTGTGTTTTAACAGGGCTGGAGCACATCACATCCAGCAGTTTTTCACTCAACAGGTTCTACGGTTTGATTTGATCAAGGCTCAAAACCTATGCGTTATTTTTCTAACACAAGCGCACGATTAGGAAGAAAGTAATATAAAAAAAATCAGCATCACCTTAAAATTTTGATCAATCATAAAATCACAGCCCAGGAGGTCAAAGTAGCCCAGTTTAGACTCCAATTTGCTCTTAGCAGAGATGAAACACTGCATCATGATCTGTTGCATTTTCTTCTGCAAGAAAAAGATGAGTTATGTATAGCTCCTTGAATTAAAAGCCTCCCTTTTCCATTTGTGTTCCTTAAGAAGTTTGAGGTCCTGACCCCGATGTACTGAGTTATCAAAACTTTACTACAACAACTTGCATTTATATAGTACAATTCACGCAGGGCAGTGTCTCGGAGCGCTTAACAGTGGCAGAACCTAAAGCTGAGCCGGTGGGGGGTGGTGGGGGGGGGGGGGGGTGGGAGGAGGTGACTGTCAGCACAGTCGAAGAGGAAGACCTTTTCACACGAAGGGTAGAGAAAATCTGGAACTCTCTCCCCCAAAAGGTTATGGATCCTGGAGCCATTCAAATTTGCAAGACTAAGATGGATGGATGTTTGTTAGGTCAGGGTATCCTGGGATATGGGGCAAAGGCGGGTAATTGGAGTTGAGGTACAGATCAGCCACGATCTAATGGAATGGCGGAACAGGCTCGAGGGGCTGAATGCTCTACTCCCGTTTCCGTGTTCCTATGTCTTCGGTCGTGACCTAAAAGACAGGGAGGAGGTGGCAAGGCAGAGGGATTAGGGCAGAGAGTTCCAAAGCTTCGGGGCACAGTGGCTGAAAGCATGGCCGCTGATGGTGGAGGGTAGGGGACGAGGGACAAGCAGGAGGCGAGAGCTAGCCGAGGGCCGGCAGCGAGGGTGGGGTGGGGAGTGGTTACCGCGGTAATCTCGTGCTCCAGCGCTGGGTTATCAAAATGTTAAAGGTTACCGTGGAAATACGGCAGCACTTTGCCATCGCTAACCAGCGAGCGAGGTTGTGTACTGAATCCTCTGGTGGTTACAAGGGCTGTGAACATCACTGTATTAATTAGAGCTGGGTAATGAAAGCAGAATCACACCCTTACCGCAAAAACGGTGAACACCCAGTCCTTCTGGAGGGCTTTTGCTACCATGAAAGTCTCATTAATATATTTATTTAAGCGCTCCATTGACCAGATTGTCTCGTCCTTCACGTCATTGTAATTTGGGTTCTTTTTCTGTATGAACTGAGGGCGAAAAGACACAAGGCTGCAATTAGTGGATTAAAGCTGCTTTTGAGGGAGGGAGATAGGGAGGGAGGGAGGGAGGAAAGGAGGGCAAGTAAGGAGAGAGGTGGAGGGACAACAAGCATCTCCTAAGATATTAATATCAATAAGGGGCCAAATAAATAAAAGATGAATAGTTTATTGAAAGAGCAGGAGGATGCATTCCTAATAATAAAAAAAACCTTACATTTAAAAGCAATGCCTTTCACACAGTGACTCTATATTTTGTAGGTGAAATCAGCTGCCAATTTGCACATAGCGATGTCCCACAAACAGCCCATGAGGTGAATGAGCAATCTTATTTGGAGGATTGTGGATCCAGGACAATGGGAGAAAGTTTTATTTTTGAAATAGTGCCATGGGAGCTTTATGAACTGTGGGGGTGCGAATGGGTTAAAACTCAGGCAGAATTGTTTAAAATACACCAGGGAAGGATGAAGCACACGGGAATGGAAAAGATCATCAACATCTGCTGAGCTGGGTATTTTTATCCCCTCACGCAGATCACTGGGTAATTTACAAAGCAGTAATGAACACCTGCTGCAGCCCGGCCTGACTTACACACATAGAATCAATCCCCTGTGCACTAACTGGCAATAATAATAATCTTTGCATTTGATACAGCGTCTTATCACGTCTTCGAGATGTCTCAAAGCGCTTCACAAAATACACTGTAAAGTGAGTTGACTGTGTGTTTTGTGGGACGAATATTTATTGTTGGCGAAAATTACCACTTTTTTTTAACCTTTGCAGTGTATTCTGGATTCAGACACAGCTGTTGGACTAACATCACATTTCATCTTACCTGGTTAGTTAAGTGACCTGTCAGGTCGTCAGAATTGGGGTCATACTTGTTACACGTCAACTTGACGTAACCGTGGTGAAAGAAGGTCACATAGGGTGAGGTGCAGGCGATCAGGAAGAAGGAGCGGACATCAAATTTTCTCCCATCCAGTAGCAGAGGGTTGTGAATGTATCTGTTGGAGGAAAAAGGACACACATTTTAATGAAACTCTGAAGAAGGTTTGGAGACTGGTCAGGGATTTCATAGTTACTACGTCTGGCCAGTGGACTCATCAGAAGACCCACGTCCCCTTCACTTGGGGCTCTCCACAAATCCACTCCTCCAGTGTGTTCATGGCCTGCTTTAACACTAGTCAATCTCATTGTCTGGTGACTGAAAATGAGGGAAATAAGAGGTGAGACATTGTTCAATGTTCTATTAAAGAACTACTGTTCACTCCTGCTTTCCTGGGAGTCAGTGTATGGCCCATCCAATCTGATCCTTCCACCCACCCTACCATCACAGCCACAAGCTGCTTTTTAAATGAGTCCAGTGTCCTGGCCTTAACCAACTTTCCTGGCAAACTACTTGTGCTCAGTTCTGAGCAGTTCATACGACTAGGTTCTTATAAGGCTCATTTATTGGAAGATTCGCCTTGGGTATTGACTCCCTCACGAGACAAAGTTAGTTGGTGAACATCTGTAAGGGTGTGAGGTGCACAAGGAAAGATTGTATCTTACCTTTGAACTACTCTGTGAATGGGCGAAGTGTACAAATAACACCTGTAGTGAGGATTCTCGGTCACACTCTCCAGTTTGCTGCGGAAGGCGGCTAAGTCTTCGCGATTCCTTAGAAGAAAGATTCCTCGGCCCAAGCTCGATTCGGCAGGTTTGCAAATCCAAATCTGCCCTTCTGTGTAAACAACAAACACAGGGAACCAGAGTCAGAAAATGGGGGGTAAGCTTTTACAATAATGTACAAGAGTGTTTAAGCCTGAGGTTCCACCTGGAGGTTGCCTGCAAAACGTTTTATCAAACTATTTACTGGTCAGCAATTATCAAGTTGAAGTCTGTGCTTTCATGATATTCCTCTCCGGTGCAGGACTGAAGTGTAGGGTCTCTGGACATTTATGGTGTTGCCAGTGACACTGTGGTCCTATGCACTACTTATAAAAATAAGTTGTGTGATGATGGATGTGATAATTCAGAGCCGCTAGTATCCAACCCCATCCCCTTGAAACTCTCAGAGATGTTACTCTACGTGAAGGGCGCTATATAAATGGAAGTTGTTGTTGATGATGTGCACGCTGCCAGACTTTACCATGCAAAAGCACTCAGAACCCTGCTGCTGTGACGGTAAATAATGATCCTTACATTTAGCGTAGTGCCTTTCACGCCCTTCGGAAGGACATCCCAAAACACTTCACAAGGATACAGTGTAAAGTGGAGTGATTTGTGCAGAAATGTAGCACCGATTTGTGCACTGCCATGTCCCATAAAATCAATTTTATGTGGGAGATTAGTGGCTGAGACAGCGGGAGAAACTCCCTTCTCTTTTTTGAATGGTGCCATGGGATCTTTAACGTTCACCTGAACAGATAGATGGGGCCTCGATTTAATGTCTCATCTGAAGGACGGAGGGTAGAGGTTACCTCTGAAAACCTCAAAGAAAGTTTGACGCTCCTTCTTCATATCCATGCGATACGTCTCAGGATAGAAGTCGTCTAGTTTCATACCCCTGCTGGGAGACAGGGCAATAAATAATAATAATAATAACAGTAATAATAAGCTTTGCATTTAATATAGCTCCTCTTCACATCTTAGAGACGTCTCAAAGCTCTTCATGGGGATGTGGTGTAAAATGGATTGACTGCACTTTGTGGGCGAGATGCAGCAGCCAGTGGCGTGCAGCAATGATGAAAGTTGTGTGGAAAGCGTCCCAGTGACTGGTCTGCCCCTCCAAGTTCTGCCAATGAGCCAACCGGCTGGTCTGTCATCAGCAATGCCTTGGGAGTAGGGTTATACGTCAAATTCTAGGAATAGTTTACTGATATTCAATTTATTTAAGGAAACAAGTTTGAAGTAAAGAAGAATGATGAAGAAACCGACTGAATAAGTCACAACAAGAAGAAAGTTAATCGAAACAAACCTCAAAGCAAACAGATGGCATTTTGTGTTAAGCTTAAAGTTAATAAAATAGAAAAAGTTTCATAACTCTTACCATCTAATTGTAGAAATGAACATTACTTTCAAATGGATAAGTCGTCTTGCCAGCAGTCCATAATTTTACGAAGACAAAACAGACACGTTTATAAAGGTGTTCAATTGCCAGTAAACAGTAGAAACCAAAACAGCTAATACTAATGGCTGTATCTTAACCGATTTTAATTAACGTCCTTTATACTGGGGGCCAGGTTTGAATTAGATGCTCAGTTATCCGAATTTTCAACATTCACTGAGTGGCAACAAAAGGATAATAGTCTTTGTTGCCACTCATTTTTTTCCTCTTCCTTCAATTTAAATCGGACAACATCAGCTGCACTCCGAGACCCCACCCTGCAAGAAGTGCGCTATATAAATGCAAGTTGTTGTGGTTGTTGAGGAGATACTGGTTGACCCTCATTATAATGCAGTGATTTAGGTCCATGAACTCAGCCCCCGCGCCCACACATTATAATGAGGTCAATAAGCATTTCCATGTCATCAGGTCACAGTCAATGTCACTTCCTGACATCGCTTCTGACATCACTACAAATGTCCAGAGATAGCCACGCGGACACTTCCTTCGGAGCAACAGTCGGCCACACTTCCCGCAGGTAGCGCCCAAGCGCGGTGCACGGGAAGTGAAGTCAGCGATGTTTCCTGTGCAGGACACCCAGGAAGCGAAAGTGGCTTCCACCGCAAGTGCAAAGTGTGCACCTGCGCTGGATGCAGAAAGTTGGCCAGTCAGTGCTGTGCCAGAAGCAGTTCATTTGTGCCCCACGTAAACGAATCCGGGGAGCATTATAACGAGCTCAGACGGTATTCGTGCACTGGCTCAAATTCCCACCTGGGCATTTAGTAACTTAGTCAGTGTTCCCGGGAAACTGAGGCAGTCAATTCTCAAATATCCCAAATGTGAAAAATTAACTATACTCGGGTGTCTGATGTATGTTTGACGCTGCCAGATTCTGCACTAATTAATACACATGCTTGGATGCTGTATTTTCCAGTATCTTTTGTACATAATATAATATGATAATATAATAAATCTAACATTTGATATAGCGTCTTATTGACACAACATCTCAAAGTACTTTACAGGAGTTACTGTAATGAGCAGGGACAGTGCATTTATAGGCAAACTGTTAGATTGGAATCTGAATTTGTGAGATTCCCAATTAAATGCATTCTAACCAGTGTATTAATTAGGTGAGTGCTGTATATCGCAGTCTTAGGGGCAAATGTATCAAACAAGAGAAGATCAAAAGCATATATCAAAGGCAAGGATCATTATTATCAACTTACCCGGAGCTTGGGGTTATTGTATATTTACTCATTACACGTTCATAGTCCTTGAGGGAACTGCAGAGGCCAGCCTTGGTGGTCAAGATCTTGTTGTTAGGAATATGGTTTAACATCTGTTTACCTGTTTGAATGACAGAAGTCAAGGGCAAATTTAGGAACACAGTGTTGAGTTATGTAAGGCCTGGTCTGAGTCATTCGGAGAGCTGGCTTACCTTGTTGAAAGTTTTGATAGTTGATTCGTAGCTTGAGTTCGCACCATTTTAATATGTAGTCTGTTCTGTTGTTGTCATAGATTCTCTTCCATCCCCTATTCTCACAGAAGTTGCTTACTCTGTATTAAAAAGAGATAATAAAGTGTTTCAAAAGTATCACCACCAGACAGATCAGAAGAGATGATCCTAAAGGAGGATGTAGTCATGTCAATGAAGGTGGGCAGACAGGTGGCAAATGTAATTCAGTGCAGAAAAATACACTTTGTGAGGAAGAACAAAAAAAAACAAATTCACCCTGACTGGTAATATTCCTATTAAAGTAAAGCAGCAAATACCTTGGACTGCAACTAGACTTAGACTGTAAAACAAGTAAATTAAATGCAAGATTTTATATACAGGAGTATTGAATACAAAAGCAAGGAGTTAATGGGTGATATTGATTATTAAACTGTATGCAATCAGAGGCTTTTCATGAGAAAGAATGCATTATGAAACACAGCAAATTTCAGTGCTATATCCAATCAAGGCCATTAAATTAATGAAGGCTAATCGAGCTACATTAATAATTCACTATAAAGCTACTTTATACATACAAGTCGGCCCCATTTGCACCTCCAATGTAGAAAAAAGGCCCTGTGCCTCTGTAGTCATATCTCTTGCTTTTGTTAATTCTGGAGTTTGTGGCATCTCCGGATTGATCTGTTTAAACATTTAAGATTACTGGATTATTTAGATGTCTGTCGCATTATGAAGAGATTTTAAATTAGCACCTGCGATTTGTTTTTCCCAATTGTGTACTTTTTTTTGGTCAACCGGGTGTCTGACCCACGCAGAAACCCATCACCATGCTGAGGAGTATCCAAGCCAAACTGAGAATTCCATGCATCCCAGAAAACGCATGGGAATTCTAGAGACAGCTATTGGAAAGCAATGCCCACTCTCCCCCTGGAGGGTTGAGCAAAGTTATCAATCGTCAGCTACTTCTAGTCTAGATCTCTGTCTTGATAGACCGAATTAGAAGTTCTGTCAAAAACGTTCACCTGCCTCCGCCTACGCATCAGATAACCCCAACAAGCAGCCTCTCAACTCCAAGAAACGTGATGTGCAAACATGGCCACGGCTAGAGGAGAGGGCGAACTCAAGCACACACCACCCCACAACCTCCCGCAGAAACATTCTGCATCTTTCCATTTTGCGGCAACTGATTCAGTCGCCTTGTTTAACAGCAAAGAGTATGCAGCATCGCTACGTGGCAGACTATCTCTGAGTGAAAGGGGTTTTCTTGTTACTTTTTTGTGAAGGGTGCAATATTCCCAGTATTCTATTCGCTCACTCCTCCTCCAGTCCTGCTCCTGAGCCAGACATTAAGTGATGCACAGGAGCTCCCTGGGAACAGGTAGCTATTCCCTGCTTTGCCCCTACAAGTGTGTGGAGATTCCTAGCCTCAAAACTGCAAGAAAGCTAAAGCTGGGAGCTCAATGGTGTAGCAGATCAAACCAGCTTTGTTCTGAAGTGCTACGTAGATCAGACAAAGGTACATTTGACTTAAATACTGTACTGCGCTTCAAAAATACATTCTTGTATGCTTTTCAGATTTCAATCTTTTCAGAAGATTTCAAACTGATTGGAGAGCATCCAAAATTATTCCCCTTCAACTCAACTCAATGATTATCCAAACACACCAACAACCTTCTAGTCCGTTGCTAGGAAATTGTGTACAACAAAACAACAGAGCTTTACATCAAACAAATTCCCAGTGTTTTCAACAGGTCAAACATGGGTCCTATTTCCTTAATCTTGTGCTATTGAAATTGACGACAAATGGAAGCAAGGATTATATTAACATCAGTGAGTTTATCTCTTTGATTCACTATGTATTGTCTGCATCATTGATAGAAGCAAAGGGGCTTTGCTGAAATTGTAACCGCAAATGAAGATTAAACAATCATTAGAGTAAAATGCAAGAGCAGTGTACACAGTATAGACTTTTGATAGATTATTCTGCTGAAGATTCACACAGGACGAGGTCCGTGACCTTCCCTACATTCGAACAGAAAGATGCAGAGAAGGTAACAGCTTAAAAACAGTGCCTGGAACCACTGGAGAGGAATGAAAGTCGCAGTCTTACCAGTTTCCATGAGGAATGAAAAAGGAGAGAGTATATAATCTTTATCATGCGAGCAGAAGCTTCAACAGAGTTACTTTGCACTCCAGTGGCAACTGCTTTAGATGCTGGAGACGGCTGATTGGAATAGGACAATGAGGAAAGAAGCAAACGTTCCATGCTTAAAACCAGCCCAGGCCACTTCTTTGTGTTTCATTTCCACAGACTCCACCTTTTCATTGGAAAAAGTCGAGCTGGGAGTGGCATGAGTGTAGTTGTCAGAAGAAAACTTTCCCTCTTCATTTACCAGTGACCTGCTAACGCCATATCAACCCGTCCGCTCCCTCCGCTCCGCGGGCTACAGCCTGCTCCATGTCCCCCGCCTGGCCTGACCCACCATTAGCAGGTGGGCCTTCAGGCTCTCTGCCCCCCCCCCCCCCGCCGCCCCTCCTTTTGAAACTCCATCCCACAATCTCTTCATCTCGCTCCTTCCCTCCCTTTCCTCCTTCAAGGCCCACCCCAAGACCCCCTCTTCGGCCACCTCCCTACCCCTACCCTCCCCACCCTCCACCCCCCCACGATCCCAACTCCCCGCTCGGGTCCAAATCCCTGACTGTCCAGCGCCTTGGGACGTCCTCCCGACGTGAAAGGCGCCGTGTAAATGGCATTTGTTGTTGGTATCATTGAATCTCGATGGCTTGATGCGGCAACACAACAAAGCTTGTTTCGTTCCCGAGGGAGGGGGTAGATTTGTCAATTTCTAAGTATTTGTTGTGATAATGAAACTCATGCAATGACCATCGTAGCATTACACAACACTGTGCTTCTGGGTCTTTTAATCGTTTGAAGACTAAATGACCACTGGGTGGCACTACGGCCCTTCCGTTAAGCATTCTCTTTATTTCAGGATAATACCTCCAACAACGGAGCACTTCCCCATTCGTGCACTTGTCCTACAAGCTCACATCTCCGAGATGACTTGAGCTAGTTTGCCCCTGTGAAGCCTAAGAACAAAGACTCCAATCGGAGCAACGGGCTTCAAATGGTTAACGCACGAACCGCCCGGCTGGCGAATGCATAATTCCTTTCTTTTTGACAACATTGCTGTGGCGTGAGCCGCAGTGACAAGAGGGCAGCCGTTATTGACGTGAGCAGCACTGAACAGGAAAGGGGCCTTGAACTTGGAGCACTCTTAACAGCGTCAGCTTTTTTATCCGTCTCGTGCAACTATCCCTGTGTTCACCCTGACACTCCCAATAATAAGATTTCTTCCAATTGACACAGCGGTTTCACAGGCACGGCAAACTACCACAAACAGCCACCAAAATGCCTGACCAATCTTTCTGCAATCTTATTCCATTGCATGACGCAAAGGCAAAATCTGCAGGTTCAGTTTTCCTGACTTGGAATTAATAACATCAACAACAAAAGACTTGTGTGGAGTATAAACACCAGGATGGACTAGTTGGGCTGAATGGCCTGTTCCCGTGCTGTACGATCTATCTATGAAAAAGGCAAGAAAAAGAGCTTCACTAACAAACTAAGAAGGAAGAAGACTGTATATATTGTACAGCTTAAAATTGGTGAATTGTTCAAGGGTGTAACGCATTCTCGGATTCATTTTAAACCGCGGCTTTCTTTCTGCATCTGACAGAGATGCAAAGCAAACATCCATCATACGGGGTTGTCTGTGCCTGACCTGTTCTCGCTCTCCATTTGAAATGAATGGGTCCGTGACAAGCTAACAGTCATTAAAATAGGTCCTAGCATTTATGATTATATGTAGAAGAGATTTACTGTTTTATTAGGAAGGAATAGAATTTCATCAGCGTCAATTGAACTTTTCTAAAACTAGGCGGAACATGAGCTGAGCTGAATTCAGTCTGTTTCAGTTTCAGACTCACAGTGTATTGTCCTCACTAAGGGGCACATGTGTCAGTGATGTGTGACAGTGCAGTGTTTTAAATTAAACCCCACCAAGAGTTGAATCGCACACGAACCTGTGAACTTGCTGGAGACAATATCTGGGAGTGTTGGTACACTGCGTAGGAATGTTTTTCTGAATTCATTTATATTGGAAAAATAACCTGCATCGCCCTCTGAAGCCATATCATGTTTAGCTTGTGTCTGACATTGTGCTATGATGCTAGTGGTGATTGCTGTCATAAAGACTTGGTATTTAAAGGGGTGTCATCAGACATTTTTTAAACATCAATAGTAATATCCCACACCTTGTGCTACAATGTCAAAATATTTGCACACATTTCCACAAAGGTTAATGTAAAGTTTAAAGTTTAAACCCTAGATCCCACCTTGCGACAGAATGTGATATTGCTGGTCGGCCACAGCTCCATGGTACTTCATGTGTGCCATTGTCTGCTCGCGACTGCTTCAACACATCACTTTAAATTTCTTTCTGCTCAAAATAGCCAGGCTATCGGTTACACTCTCGCCTCCGAGCCAGAAGGCTGTGGGTTTTCAACCACTTGTTGGGACCTCACAGTCTAAGCTGACACTCCAGCTCAGTCTTGCAGAGAGCACTGCATTGCCGGAGATGTTGTCCTTCAGATAAAGATATTAAAATGAGGTCCCACCTGCCTGCAAAGGTGGCTGTTAAAGATGTTTATGCTAATATGGCACTGTTCAAAAAGCGAAGGGAATTTCTCCCAGTGTTCAAATTTAATAAAAAAATTCATTTACTTCAGAAATGTTTGTGGGATATCGCTGTGCATAAAATGGCTGTGGCATTTGCCTACAAGTACACAGTCACTACACGATACAAAAAATTCTGTCGAACGTTGAGAACATTTCAACATTATAAAGTACTGTATCAAATGCAAAGATTACTATTATTGAACAAGCAAACTTGGACGAAAGAGGTTTTTCTGCTCCCGTTTGAGCTCATCCTCCCATTTCGTCCTGGTTCAACCATGAGGAACACATGTTAAACAAATGAAGAAGAATAGAAACACTCCAGGGTGTACATAACCAAAAAGATAGACAGACAGCCGGACGGACAAGGGTGAAACCACTCCCTGGGGGAGTGAGCTGACACCTAGAGGGAGGTAATTAATATCAGCACCATTGCTGGCATAAACAAACTCCTGCATTTGCCCACAAATATACGGTCTCTATGAGCAACGAATGAAATAATAATCTTTTCCCCTACAAAATACCCAGTCACTGAACTCTACAGCAAATCCTGTGAGGGGCTTTAAGACGTCTTGATGAGGCGCTACGTCAAACCAAAGATCATTGTATTATTCACCGCAGCGCCCGTGGCTTGTGAAACTTCTCAAATTCTTTCCCAGGGTTTCTGTCCTTATCGACAAATGTAATTCTCGTGTTGCTAACCGACTGTTTAATCTTGGGCGCGGCTTTTGGGGGGGGGGGGGGGGGGGGGAAACCTTCTGCAAACTTCCGAGCGGAATAAAAATGAAGGTGAAGTTCCAAAGCAGTCGTTGCACAATGACATGAGGAGGAGCTCGGAGTCTGTCTGTCTTTGCGGTTGCGCTCGCTCCTTTGTTAGATAACCTCGGTGACATTAACCGGTTGCTATGAGGATATGCCGCAGAGGGACCCAGATCCCACATACAGTATTAGCTGCCAAATAGGATTCGGGGCAACACGTGACCGACACCTACACAAACAGAACAAGCCGGTGTTAACCTCTTCAATGCCAAGATCTGGACTTCACAAAGAGCTCTCTGAATATTTGGTGGCGTGGGAATGGTGGGGGGGACGGGGGAGACGGGGGACGGGGGAGAGGGGGTGTCAGCCATTTGTCTGACACTCGGAAAATCATCGCCGTACTTAAGAATATCTTGATGGTACCGCAGGCCTCTTCATGCCGATGATGGCCATGGGTTGCCCATCACTGGTTTAGGCTGACGCTCCAAGGCAGTGCTGGGGGTGTGATGCATGTTTGGATGTGCTGTCCTTTGTGGTCTCGTCTACCTATCCAGGTGGACGTTAAAGATCCCGTGGCACTTTGTTCTCGTCTCCAAAATGCACAGTCACTTATTCTATAACCTGCAAAGTGCTGTGAGATTTCCTGATGTGAAAGGCGCTATCTTCAAATGGAAGAAGGCAAGAGCCAGGGGAGACTTGACAAGCACAACACCAAGATTGCAGTAAGGAGGGGAGTTTGATGGAAGGGAAACCAGATCAATAATCCCGGAAACAACAGTGCGACTTCCATTCTCCACTGCTTGAGTGTCTAGGTTCAAAGTATGTGATATATAGTGCATATAGTTTGTTGAAGAAATTGTACCTTTTCCGGTTAAACCAGTTTGATTTAAAAAAATACAAGAAACAGAAAGCATTGTGTTGGGTGTGGGAAAGCTGAATTATTTGTAGATGTGTAATAATGGAGACCTTGTGCAGTCCTGAGGTGTAGAGGTATAGCGCACTTGCCTTGCAAACGAGAGGACCCGGGTTCGATATCCTCTCCGTGGCCAATGGTCAGCAATCTTCCTTTGAAGGACAGTTGCCTCTTGAAGTTCATGATCTGTTGGCACTAGTGTATTGTGCACGTTGGGCTGCAACAGGCTTTCCTGATTTGGCTCTCTGCCATTGTTTATACCTCTATTCTCTGCACTTCGCAGCTTTGTTAAGACACGGATACGATTACACAGACTTAACAAGCCCTTTAACATTGTTTATAGGTGTGACTTATTCATTGGTTCCTCAATTTCTAGTGAGTACATCGAACCAGGTGCATAGAATTACATAGACTCTATTGTCACAAAAACAAGCCATTCAGCTCAAGTCGTCCCCGCCTTGTCTGTACCCCATATATCACAAGATCACGAATGATGAAGAAGGCCTTTTGGCCCATCTGATTTCATTCCTCCGAAACACCCACCCTACCGTCCTTCCCATCACAGCATCAAGCTGCTTTTTAAATGACTTCCAGGGTTTGATGTCACCTCACCCTCGTATTCAAGTCCCTGCACTCCTCTGCACCCCCCGACCTCTCTGACCTCCGCTCTCCTCAGCACAGCACCTCATCCTCACCTACAAGGCCATTCACGGCCGTGCTCCCTCCTACCTCTCCGACCTACTATCCCCCTACTTACCTGCCCATACCCTCCGTTCCTCTGGTCACCTTCCTCCCCCTTCCCCCGGCCCCTCCCCCTCCCCCTGGCTCATTACCCCTCCCCCTGGCTCGGTCCCGGGATCCGTTACTGTAAAGCGCTCTGAGACGCCGTCTGGTTTGGAGGGCGCTCTATAAATCCATGTTGTTGTTGTTGTTGTTGATGTTACAGGAGCTAAAGCGTGGCCTGAAGAACAGGACCTCACCCGAGTTTTAACATCTCATCTGAAAGATGTCACCTTCGAACGCTCCAGCAATTCTCTGCTTCCTGCTCTGGAATGTCAGCGTGGACTGTGATTTCAACTGTGGGATTTGAGCTCATTGTCGGGTGACCCAGAAACAAAAGTACCGACTGACACAAACTGACACGTTAACTGATAGTCGAGAGTATTATCCTCATTTCTGACTGTCACACTATCTGTGCAAGTACAAGTGTCTATTGTGTACAAGTACATAGGATTACATAGAGGGTTATAGCTGGAAACAAGCCATTTGGCCCAACTAGACCCTGTTGCTATTTATACTCCACATGAGTACCCACTCCTTCTACTCCCCTCTCCTACACCAAACTACTCCCTTCTCCCTAATCAAGTTTCCTGTTAAATACACTGATGCCTTGTATGCGTTTCTCAGCAATTCTACAATTGTAATGCTATAAAATGTAAGTGCTTTGTAAGTTATTACAGTTACCTTTCTCGGAAAAGAAATATACATATGTTACGCTTGCCCGTTACACCCCCTCTGTCTTGGGAAATGTTGTGATTTGTTAATGATCACAAATCACATTTTACTGCCCTATCTATATCTATTTTCTGCTGTGGGCCAGTATCCACTCACAAAATATGTAGTCAATTCACTTTACAGTATATTCTGTGAAGCGCTTTGAGACGTCTCTAAGACGTGATAAGGCGCTGTATCAAACCCAAGGATTATTATTATATTATTATTATATTCAAACGCAGTGGAGACTATGGCAGCCGTGAAGAAGCCTGATTCAGACAACATTTGTTTTGGTACAATTTTAACACTATAGGTGTAAAGAAAGTACGGCCTTTCATTGGGAAAGTGAGTCCAATCCTTAGCTTGCTCTCTCTCTCTCTCTCTCTCTCAGTGGATGTGTTCCATCCAGAAAGATTGATGCGATTGTTGCCTTGCATCAATAATGCCACAATGACTGAGCTTTCAATCACAAAATACTATTCTCCAGTGACTGAGAGTAAACTGAATTGCATTTCGGAATTCTACTGAGAAGATTTCAGGCTGTGCGATGGCAGCGGTGCCGAAAACGCTCGGACCTTTAGCGATTTGCATGGAAATTACACAAAGGAATCCTCTCTTACTTGACATCCTGATATTTTGTCCGCTTTAGATTTCAATTCCCCAAATTATAATAACAATAATAATCCTTGCATTTGATACAGAGCCTTATCACGTCGTCGAGACGTCTCACAGCCCTTCACAGGATACACGGTAGGTTTTTGTGGGTGAAACATGTCCCACTGTTTTCCCCCACTCCCTTGCCCGCACCCCTCGTAATCCATCCCCCAGCTCGGGTGCAACCTCTCAACCGTGTCCAGCATCTTGGGACGTCCTCTCTGATGTGAAAGGCGCTGTATAAATGCAACGTGTTGGCTGTTGTCGTGGTTTCTTTCGCACATTTTTTTTAGTAAAACGGAGCAGAAAACCTGGCAGACTATTGAATTTTAAACACCGGGACAAAGGTTATTTACATGGCAGGAAAGACTTCCCCTTTCGGGGTTTCTGCCAACTCGCTGACAGGGGTCACTGATGCAGTGCCACGCTTTGTGGGGCTGTTTAAAAAAAAGGTAACAATGCACCCTAGCAACGGTTACTCAATGGTCCATAACACTAGGGGCTCTCCCCACTCTCTCTCTCTCTCTCTCGCTCTCTTACCCCCCCCCCCCGCGTTCAGACAATTTTGAGTTTTCAAGCCAATAGTTCTCGAGTGTAAATTCGCTCCGCAGCAGAAACAACAGGCCACGACCCCCTGCGATGCCTCGGGTGGCGAACTGTATGGCTGCCTAACCTTTGCTCAGTCGGGTAGCAGTCTTGGCTCATTCTGGATGTTAGGACGTCCTTGTGAGCTTGAGCCCCTGCACCAGGACTTAGCGCAGAATTTAGGCCAACCACCAAGTGTGGCATTGAGGGACACTGCATTGTTGGGAGGGCCTCTTTACCGGTTCAGAAGGAAGAGGAACAACAACTTGCACTTATATAGTGCCCTCCCCGTGCAGTAGCGTCTCAGGGCGCTTGAACACTGAAACAAGGGACACTGATAATCTCAGTGTTACCATGGCGCTACATGGAAGAAGAGCAGTGCGTTCTCCCGGTGAGCTGGCCAATATTCTTCCGTCACTAAACAGACAAGATTCGTTGGTTATTTATTTTATTGCTGTCTGTGGCTCGTTCCTGGCCCAGATGAGCTGCTGCGTACCCGGTGCTGTGCTTAATGCATCGCGTGAAGCGCTTTGAGACGGGGACCCGATAAAGGCATCACGTCAAATGGTTTGAAAGCGTAGCGGGAAAGGGGAAAGGTGGAGGAATTGCAGGAGAGAGTTCCAAAGGGAAAGGGCGATGATGGGGTGGTATAACAACGCCTTTACACGGCAGGAGGACATGAGAAAAGCAAAGGGCTGGCATCACAGAATGTACTGTAAAGTGCAATGATGTTTGTGGGCGAACACACACTCACATCTAAATCCATGGGCGTGAATCGAAATCCCTAATCAACGGGCGTTTTGCAAACTTGATAAAATATCACCTATTTGTGTTTTGTGTGGCTGCGTTATGACATCAGATGAACTGCTTGATTAGAGAGATGCCTTTTAACCCAGGTCTTTGTGACAGCGATCAAAGTCATGTCATAGCACAATGTCAGGCCTAGGAAAAAACATAATATGGCTTCAAACGACGATGATGGTTATTTTTCCAATGTAAACGAATTCCAAAACAATTTCTTATGCAGTATAACACCACCTGCGGGTATTTTATCTCAGAAGTTCACAGGTTAGTGATTCAATTCAATTCTAAGGGTTTGAATCCTTTGCACAATCCCACACGTTAACAGGCGGTGACAGCTCTCTCTCAGTGAGAACAACGCAGTGAATCTGAAACTGTAACTCCAGGCACTTGTCAGAGATTCATCCATACCGATCAAACCGGACGTTAAACAAATGATACGGATGTGAATAATGGAAGCTATTTTCAAGAGATATCCTCCCTACTGTCCTATTGTTTTTTTTTAAGATGAGCCCAGTGTAATATATCCTCATACTATGTCATTAAATATGAGGTAATGTTGATAACGTAAATAACTTTAACTCAAAAACAGATCAAATACAGAACAATGGCAAGCGGAGAGATTCCAGGCGCAAGAGAACGGATGATCGGAGAGACAAGGGACTTTTTTTCTACGTGGAAAATTCAAATGAGGCTGACTTGTATGTATAAATGTAAAGCTTTCTATTGTAATAAGTTGCTAAAATGTTGCTCAAGCCGTCCTTCGATAAAAGATGGCATTAGTTCGAGACCCTCCAAAATATGTCATTAGTAAATCAGAAGTTTTGTAACTTCAGGTTTGTGTCTGAGATTCATTACAATTTACGACTGCTGTGTGCAGTTAGTTGCCACGTTTCGCCCACAAAATACAGTCAATCCACTTTACGATATATTCTGTGAAGCGATTTGAGATCTCTCAGCGACGTAATAAGGTGCTATAACCAATTCAAGGATTATTATTGTAGTATTATTATCTCGGAAGGCGGCCAAATATTGTCACAAACCAATAGAATTATTGTCACTCTTTTCGAGTTCTTTTTAGGGCAACAAAAAGGACTGAAAGCAAAACTCTGATCACATTCGGACTTCTATGTGACATTATATTGAACTCGATGTGACATTATTTGAACTGTATTTAATCAATACCTTTTATTGTTCTCTCGTCAAAATATAAAATATTGTGTAAGAAAACAAGTTGCACAGAGTAGGGACGGAGCTTCAATTTAACATTCTTGTTAAAACAAATTATTATATATTAGATTTGAACAAATGGTGTATAAAGGCCCTTAGTTGCAGCGCCATTGTGATTCCTTTCAGTTTACTCTAACCAACATGCTGGCCTCAAGCACACTTCCTGGCAGCCTGTAAATACTTCCTGGTGTCTGTACTGAAATTGCCCTGCTCATAGTTTGATTTTGTTTAGGATTATCAATTAATTTCCAGTTAAATATGCTGAAATACCTCATTTTTTTTAAATACAGAATTTACAACTACTGTGTGAACAGGGAATGGAAACGAATCATAGACAATATCAGACTGAACTACCTATTAAAAGGTAAGTCACTCCATCCTGCACTGCTAATGTTTCTGCACTATGTTTGACTCAAGACTTACCTCTTTGAACGTGCTTTTGGGCATATTCCCCTTCCCCATCCTCTCCAGATGACAACCAGCCCCTGCTCTGCCCCTGGCTCGAGCGCTCTGTCAACGGGATAAAGCTCTTTGAGGTATCCTCCTGACGTGCAAGGCGCTATGTAAATGTAAATTGTAAAGCAGCATTGATAATGCCTGCCCTGACGTTTTTGACTTTCTCTTATCTTAAACCTAATTTGTTGAATTTTTGAAGGAAGCTACCAAACCAGACGTAGAGCGAGCTTGAATTCCTGACATTTAACAGCAACATTCCTTAATAAGGAATCCGGTTAGAATTTGCCGAAAATATGTCGGAATTCTGCTGGCAGCTTGTCAATTTGGTTAAACACGACTTCACATCCTTTCCCCCCCGAAAACATTCAGTGCGATTTAGCACTTTACCCAGACATTTAGGAAACATAGGAACAGGTGGAGGCCATTCAGCCCCTCGAGCATGTTTCGCCATTGTATTACATCATGGCTGATCTGTACCTCAACTCTAAATACCTGCCTTTGCCCCATATCCCATGATGACCTAACAAAAATCCATCCAGTCTTGAAAATGTGAACGGATCCAGCATTCACAGCCTTTTGGGGGAGACAGTACCAGATTTCCACTAATCTTTTGCATGAAAATACGCCTCCTGATTTTACTCGTTGATGGCCTAGCTCTAATTTTAAGATGATACCCCTTGTTCTGGATTCCCCCGCCAGAGGAAATAGTTTCTCATCTTCAGTTATTTCTTAAACATCCTTGTTCGTTCTCTGAGACTTGATAACATGTATAGACTTTCTGGTGACTTTCTGCACTTTATTTCTCTGGCTTCTGTCTTTGAACAGGTAAGCAGACCTTGTACCATATTCCTAACAATAGGTTCCTGACCACCAAAGTTGGCCTTTGCACTTCGCTCAAAGATCAAGAGCGGAGAAGCAACAGATGTATAAAGTTCAGATGTTCCAAGTAAGGACATTTGTATTATGTTCAGTCTGTGATGTACACTATATGTCACTAACCTTAATTGACATGCTCATCCAGATAACAAAATGGTGATTCCACCCTTGGGCTAGCCATTGGATTCACCCGAACTAACCAGTTGCCAAATTTGCTACTATAGGAGTTTCCAAATGGGAGGGAATATTCTTATTTGTGGAAACCAAAGAGAGCGAGGAGAAAATAGCGTGAAAAGAGATGAGAGTTTCGAAATTTCATTTAAGGTGATGTGACTTTTAGAAAATCATATCTGCTTCTCTCGACTAGGCTGTTGAAACTGGATGAATTCTATCCTGAGACGTACCGCATGGATGTGGCAAAGGAGCGGGTAACTTTCTTTGACGTCTTCAAAGGTATTTATTCTCTTTCTTTTGTCTATCATAAAAGGCCAGTTTGGGTTATGATTGAAATCTGGAGTTGTTCAATCCGAGTGTTGTTAGAGGCAAAGTAACGATTTGCTAACAGCCGTATAGAATGTGTCACGGTTGATGGTTTCTTATTGAAAAGATGGGGTGAAATGTTAATAAGCAATGCTGAAATCATCAATGCTCATTAACAGCTACACCACGTAAACAGTATTTCATTATAATAAATAGTAATCCTTGCATTTGATACAGTGCTTCATCACGTCTTTGCGATGTCTCAAAGCACTTCACAGAATATCCTGCGAATTGCTTTGAGACGTATCAAAGATGTTATAGTTGTTGTCTCAACGTGATAAAGCACTATATCAAAATGCAGTTTTTTTATTATAAGCACTGATATGACCTAATTTCCCGTCACTGACTCTGGTTCCCTGTGTTTGTTGCTTATACAGACGGGCAGATTTGGATTTGCAAACCTGCCGAATCGAGTCTGGGACGAGGAATCTTTCTTCTGCGGAATCGTGATGATGTAGCTGCGTTCCGCAGTAAACTGGAGAGTGTAGAAAAGATTCCTCAGCACAGACTGTGTTTCTACAATGCACCGATCCACAGAATAGTACAGAGGTACATGAAAACAATCAGAACAGAAATAAAATTGCTGATTATACAACAGGACAAGTTGGACACCAGAGAAAGAGACTGACTTGTTTGTACTGAATCAAAGCTCTGGCAATATGTTACAGCTGGACATAATATAATGATGATAATAATAATAATCCTTGCATTTGGACTTGAGATGTCTCAAAGCGCTTCACAGAATATACTGTAAAGTCAATTGACTGTGTATTTTGTTGGCCAAATGCGGCAGAAAATAAGAAACACATTGTCTGTCCAGAGCCACTGATCCTAAGGATAAAAAAAAATCCCTGACTCGTCTCCCGATCTACACTTGCAGTTTCATTAAAATGTGTGTCCTTTTTCCTCCAACAGATACATTCACAACCCTCTGCTACTGGATGGGCGAAAATTTGATGTCCGCTCCTATTTCCTGATTGCCTGCACCTCACCCTACGTGACCTTCTTTCACCACGGTTACGTCAAGGTGACGTGTAACCAGTATCACCCAAATTCGGACGACCTGACAGGTCACTTAACCAATCAGGTAGGCTAAAGACTAAAACCACGTTGGTCACTCGCTTCAAGGCTGTTTGTGGGGACATCACTGTGCATCAATTGGCTGCCGCGTTCGCTTACAAATGCAGAGTCACAACCCTTCACATTAAAATCCTGCCAAGTGCTTTGAGCCGTCCCAATAACATGACACGGTAAAATGCAAGGATTACAGTATTATTATGAGTAGCAACAACTGAAGGTGTTAAGGTGAGGGTTTGGACATCATCAGGCCATCTTGGAACAGAAAGGAAGGAAGGTGAGAGAGAGAGAGAGAGAGAGAGAGATGTCGGCACAGCGGTGGGGGGTTGCGTGTGTATGTCAGGTGGGGGTACCGGCTGGGGCAGGTGTTCATTAGCTGTGTAACCTGCGTGAGGGGATAAAGATACCCAGCTCAGCAGATGTCGCTGGGCTTTCCCAATCCCACGTGCTTCATCCATCTCTCCGGTGTGTATCAGCCGAATCTGCCTGCATTTTAACCCCTTCACGCCCCACAAGTCTTGTTTTTCCATCATTTCCCAAAACTTAGTGCCGAGAGAACAAACCGTTATCTTCACAGTATCTTATCTCGCTGAAATGGATCCAAGCACTCCGCAGGTGATCATCACTGTCGAGTGTAGTGACTGTTTTGTAAGGGAACAAGGCAGCTGTTTGCAGCATTTCACACGGAGGATTTTTTGGCCAAGACACGGAGAAAAACTCCTGTTCAATAAGTCTCCTGAGCGTCATCTTAACAAATGCATTTTGAAAATCCATATTCACAAGACGACTGCATTTCGTTTACAACAATACTTAACCCTTGCATTTGATCTAGCACCTTTATATTACAAAAGCATCCAAAGCACTTGGCAACTAATTGCTAACGGCTCCTTCTTCTGACTCACAGCTTTCCTTTTAAATGTTCAATTTTTCACAGATGTGTAAATGTCTATCTAGCATGTACCACCTGTCGCCCCCTCCCTCGTTCCTTTCCAGAGAAGCATTTTTAATCCACTAATTGTAGCCTTGTGTCTTTTCTCCCTCAGTTCATGCAGAAAAAGAACCCAAATTACAATGAGGTGATGGAGGAGACAATCTGGTCCATGGAGCGATTAAATAACTATATTAATGAGAGGTTTAGGATACCAAAGGCCGTCCCGAAGGACTGGGTCTTCACTGTTTTTGAGGTAAGGGTGTGATTCTGCTTTTCACCTCTAAATCTGGCTCTAATTAACACAATGGTCTTCTCAGGCCTCTTACGAGCAGATTATTCGGGCTCCCTGGTTAGCGCTGGCACAGTGCTGCAGTGCTTACCATAGTAAGGTTTTTGATAACCTAGTACATTGGGTCAGATAACCTAGTTGACAATAACATAATAATAAGGCGGTATTCGGTACGTTCTTTAAGAAAACAATAGAAAAAATCACTTCAAAGTTAAGACTGAATTCAACAATTTGCCAAATTCTGGACACTCTAAGTTGCTACATAAATAGAATCAATCTAAACCCCAGAGCAAAATATCTCCCCATTCTTTCTCACCTGTTTTACTCAGTATCTTGTCGAAGCTAGCTGATGACCTGATGACCTAGTTTGTTCATGTTTAAGTAGAAAAAATGAAACCGGGATGTTTCAAGGGTTTAATTCAATGTGAATGAATGACCACAGTAATATGAGTGCATGCAATAACCATATTGCATCCCAAAAGGCTCCAGATTATTAATAGATCCAAGATGGTTGCATCTTTTTTTATTATGTTAATTTAAAAACACATTTTTGGTTTATATAATTCTTAGCGTACGTCATCACATGGAATCATTCATTATCTTGGATTCCAGATAAATCTTTGTGCGAAATACTCTTTAAGTTTTAGGGAAAGACCAGGGGAATGAATTAGAGACGAAGACTCCAGTGGAAGTGTTGGCACAGGCACGGAAACAATTGTCTGAATGGCCTCCTTCTGCGCTACATATTCTGTAATTCGATGAAACGACACAGTCTATTTTAAACGTGACATTAAAAGCTTTATAATTTTCTTGCAGAGGAGAATGCAACAGATCATGAGGCAGTGCTTCATCTCTGCTAAGAGCAGACTGGAATGTAAACTGGGCTACTTTGATCTTTTGGGCTGTGACTTTATAGTTGATCAAAATTTCAAGGTGATGTGGATTTGAATTCTCTTTATTCCTGTATTTTTGTTGAGTCAGAGTTGACATGGATCAGTGACATAGCGTTGGTAGATTGGTTTCTTTGAAATCCCAGGCACTTTCATTATTACCAAACTGTTGCTATCACTAATCCTGCTGCTGCCAACGGCATGAACTGCCCAACAGCAAACGGCAAAATAAAAATGAACTCCACCAAAAAGTGATTGACATACAGGAAGGAGCCTGAACAATCCCAGTCCAATTAAACACAATACAGACGGCAGATGTAACATAGCTCTAACCCGGCCATGATTGATTTGGGCAGCGTTAATGCACGCAAAACACGACACAGGCCCGGACAATGCACACTCTTGTCCTGTCGCTGAATGGGGAGAAAGAGAATGGCAATGAATTGGAAACGAAACCCTCTCGTGTTTCAGTAACTGGCCGCTCGCTGTATCAGTGTGTAAACCCTGCACAGCGACTAATCCCAGAGTACAATGAGCCATCTGATCGCCTTTCGTTCAAACATCCTTTATGATTAATTAATGGACTTTGTTGCCCCGTTTGTTTTTTGACAGAGCCGTTTTTTTACATAAAGGGCTGAAATTATTCAAATATTTTATTTACAGTGTGCCTTACAGACATAATCAATACTTGAGAGAAAAAAAGCAACTCGGTTCCACTTTTAATAAACCTATAATAATAATCCTTATATTTGATGTCATGACGACAAACTGTCTCATAACATTTTGCTGTGGAGTATAATGACTGTGTACTTGTAGGCAAGCGCGCTTGCCAATGTGCACACAGCAATGACCTACAAACAGCCATGAAGTAAATGACCAAATTTGTCTGGGGGATTGTTGGCTAGGACACCGGGAGAAATTCTTTCTCTTTTCGAGCAGTGTCTCGGGATCTTTAACATCCACCTGAACAGGCAATTTAATGTCTCATTGGAAGGACTCAACTGGAACTCCAATCAGATGCAGAATGACTGGCTTTTTAGCAGTGATTACCACATTCTCTATTTACAAATCCTTTTGCAAATCTCGTAATAAGATGCCAAACCAAGGTTCGGTCTGCATCCCTTTGTAGAACATTGAAGAGTAGCAAGAGCAATAATCTTTTAACGTCCATAGTAAACAGATTACTTTGTGTAATTGCCATTTGTGGGACACTGCTTATGCAGATTAGCTGCATATTTTGTAGGCGAAGAAAGAAACGGCGGTCTACTCCAGATAACTTCTCACTGTACACAATGAAGAAAGAGGTTCATGTCTTAGCACATTTACCACTCAGTACTGGTCGCGGGAAAAGAAGGTGACTGTCGAGATCACTGTGGGAGATTGCCTTTTCTCAATAAGGTCGCCATGACTTTCTAATGAAGATCTTTCAAGCAGGTGGATCCTAAACCGGGATTTACTGCCTATCTTACAACAACATCATTTGGCACATCAGCCAGAATCTGTGCTTTAGTTGCTGGAAAAGGGAGACGGGTGAAGAAAATTTAGAAAATTGACAGGCTTTGTCTGTAATGACCACCAAATTAAAAAAAATATAGTATATCTAGTAGATTTATTGGTGGGAACGTTTTAGCTGTTGTCATGGTGGCTAAGTCTATACAGAACTGGTAACATGATTTGCTTAAAATCCACGTGCAATTGTATCAGTAATGCTTGGATTAATAAGTCTGCAATCTGAGAAAGGCCAATAGAAATATTGGCTACGTGAATTTAAATCATAGTAGTCAGAATCATCCTTGCAATTTAATACCGACCAACCATTCAGCCACTGACGGGAGATGACACGATTTATTAGTTTGTTGTTGCCCTTTCACTTATATAAACCATTTAATGGTTACTTCATTTATCACACTCACAAACCACAACAACAAGATTACATTTGTACAGCGCCTTTCACGTCGGGAGGACGTCCCAAGGTGCTGGACAGTGTACAGCATTTCAGAGTGGAAGTATCATTCCTTTGTGAGTGATGGTTATAATTTGCGTCGGTCCACCTGGGTGAGGAAGGGAAATATCTGGTATGTGATGTGATCCCTATCCAACGACCAAAGTGCACACATGTGGACATTAGGTGTAGGGAACATTGGTGCTGGGGTTACAGGTGCAGCATTAGATATCCCAATTCCAAGACTAAAATTGCAGGATTTGCTACCATACTTGCTTAAGAATAAAACTTAAAAAAATCATGAAAAGGTCACAATCTGAATAGTCGTAGGACACCTTTTCCAGTCGGTGATTTGTATTCTGACCCTTGGTCAGTTTCCCAGCAGTCACATCTATTTGCCAAATCCCGTCACATGAGGACCCGGATTAAGCAGCTGGAAGTGAATAAGGCTGGCAACACTCGGCTGGGACCTCAAGAACATCAAGGTGGCTTGCACATCACAAGCTGTCTTGTACAGTTCCTTCTCACATGCTGAAGGCAGCTGAGATACAGTGAATGCGATCAAAGAGGGAGATTTTAGGCGGAATTTAGACAGAGGAATAGAGGAGGGAGCTCCTGAGGTTGTGGACATAGCAGTAGAAAATGGAACAGAGGAGCGGGGTACACACAGCAGGCTCTAACGGAAGGAGTGAGTGGAATAGTTGAGGTAGCAAAATGATCACTGAAAAATGGAGGTTCCTGAGCATGAAAGGACTTATAGGTGAGGATACAGACCTGATCCTTAGGGAGACAGTGGAGCTTAGTGAGGCTTCAGGTGAGCTATTTCAGGCGCACAAGGTCATCTAGGCGAAGGGAGATAATCCAGCCCAAAGGCTTGGGGCATCATCCGGATATGAAAGGCCTTGGATAAATGCAATTTGTTGTTAATAAATAATCCTTGCATTTAATATAATCCTTTTCACGTCAGGTGGACATTTCAAGTCACTTCACAGGATTTACTGTAAAGTCATAGGATTTACTGAAAAGTAGTATTTTGTAGGGCAACACAGTGTGCTGATATATGCTGACAGACATCCGTGGATAAGAGCAAGAATGTGAGGAGAAACTGGGAGAAACATTTTTAACTTAAAAATTCACTGTAAATATCACAGTAGTTCTGCACCATCTGGTGGATGTTTAAAGCATCGACGTTTGGAAAGGCATGTTGGTTGAGTTTTTGTATTGAAGATAATAAAAAATTGGATCACTCACATTGCTGTGTGCAAACTGGCTGTTGCGTTCGCCTACAAATACAGTCACTACACTTCACAGTAAATTTCTGTGCGTTAAAATAAATGGCCATTTTCTTTAGGATGGGAACACAGCAGTTCCGTGCATTAAGACCAAACTTAGCTCCACAGAGAACCATTTTATACACGTACTCAGCTTAAAAGGAGTCTACTGTATTTCTGTGTCTTAAACTGGGATTGAAAAATACACTCAAAAGTATTGATAGGAATGTGTTTGATCTATTTCAGGTCTGGTTACTTGAGATGAACAGTAGCCCATCTCTGGAGAGACACTGTGAGGTTCTCAAAAACGTCATCCCCAGTTTGGTGACTGAAGCCCTTGGTAAGATGTCCATTTTCATCCTTAAGTTATTACAGAAGAATATCTGTGGTACCGATGGTTTTCAGACATACAAATGAACACTCTTCTGTCACTTGGCAATTGTTTGTTTTAACAGTATATCTTTTTATTATTAGATATAGTCATTGAGATATTCATAAAGAGTGGTCAAGCAATACCCATCCTGCCACTCCAGGCGCAAAGGAAGTTTATCCTGCTATACCACACTTGCTTCCTGGATTTGAACTTGAATTCCATCTCAAAGTCGAGGGCAGAAAATATCTTCTTGGAGAAGATACCACACATGAGCCTTTCTACCTATTCAGCTCAGAGTCAGAAAAGGCTGGAACCGTCGGCAAGCTTTGCTCGCACTCTAACCAAATTAGCTCAGCGATCATTTCACTCACGGCGTCAGCTGCCGGATATTAAAGAGGGACGTAAACGACACTCTGCCAAACCTAAATCTAGCCAGGAGGCAACAACTACTCAAGGCACTTTGGTTGAATGTAAACCCGGTGCAGTATCAAAGGCTTCTAAAGCCAGCTCAAGATCGACTCCAAAATTGCCACGCAAATCATCATCAGCTAAGGCTTAGCTCCAATCTTGTATTAGGCCCCAAACGAGTCCTAGAACTCAATTTTTGCAAAAATATTTGAGGTAAAGGAAGATATTTGAAGTTTCGCAAAAACATTATCATCCAGCGACAATATTATTGTCCTGGATTAAGACCCTTGGCAGCAATAGCAGGAATAGATATCACAAAGTTAATTCAAGCTTCTAGCTCATAAGTAATTTTTTTTAGAAAAAGAAATTCTGCCTCTTTAGTGCTATTGTCTTACAGGAGAGTCATATAGTTGATTACTTGTCTGATTGCGTGAAAATGAATATCTCAGTGAGGTGTACAAGTTGTACTCAGTAAAGCTGTAGTACTTATAGAGCACTTGTAGAGAGAATACCCTAACATTATTGCTCGTGTTGTTTCATTCGAGAAATTAAAAAAAATAACCATTCATATTGCGTTTTCTTCATTTTCACTTTGGCTCAAAGGCTACTTTGTTTTTCTATCTTAAACTCATATTAATGTGGTTCAGTTTCAGAAAAAAACGCAGCTGTATAAATTAAATGTAATTCAGAAAATCATCAAGCTCAGGGCTCAATTTCTTAATCTAAGATCTAATCTTTAGATATTAATAATTATTTTTATATTTAGTTATTGATAATAATCGCACAAAAAAAATAATACAATTGGTCACTTCAATCCACGACTGTTTGTGGGACATCTGCTGTGCGCAATTGGCTGCCGGGTTTCGCCCACTTTACGATATATTCCGTGAAGCGCTTTGAGACGTCTCGAAGACGTGAAAAGCACTGTTTCAAATGCAAGGATTGCTATTAATTAGCTACATCTGCATTTATCAATGATGTGATAATCATCAGTGACAATTAACACATCACACATTGCAATTTTACATCTAACGAAAGATAATGACAATAATAGATTACTTCCACTGGTTGTTGAGCCTGGAATGAGAGGTCAGCTGGGTGTCTGACACATGCAGAAACCCATCACCGTGCTTAAGAGTATCCAAACTCGGCTGAGAGATCCACATGGCACCAGCACATGAAGATGTCCCTGTGTCTGAAATAGAATTTGCACTCTCTCACACATGATGGCTGATTTGCCTTCTGTGCTGTAAATGTCTATTTCTATGGGTGCACCCTACTTACTTCAATCTGGAGAGTATTGGGTGCAGCTTGGCAGACCCAAGGCTTGGAGAGTATGTGCTGGAGTTTACCCAGCTAACACCACATAGCTTGCCATTGAGAACACTATCTGGCAAGCTTCCTGCTCCTTGGGCACTTAGATCACTCTATCCATTTGGCCTTTGGTTTGCTGGAATACAGAAGCCACATGGGAAGAATCCCAGTGAAAAAGAATAATTAAGCAAATCACAGAAAGAATTAAAGAGAGAAAAACTATTTACCCCCAAAAGTGGTTGGGATGAGGAATTATTCGTCACAAATCATTGTTGAAGCAAGGGTCCTGTATTGACTGTAAACTTTGAAAACAATATATGAATGCATGTTGAAACCGAAGAACATTTGCAACAGAAAAATATGAAAGAAAGAAAAAAAGAAGTATACAACTTAATTGGGACAGATTGTATTTGAAATATTGTTAACACAATCAAACTAAATTATGAACTGGTCTAGTTACACCCAAATTGTGTATTGCTATTTGCTTACAGCAAAAACAGATAAACTGCCAGGAGCTCAAGGGCAAAGGCTAGGAACAATGGGCAAAAAATATAGAGCAATTCATGTTGCAGAAATCTTACAGCGTACGCGTTTGAATTGCTTGCAATTAAGGATGAAGAGCTTGCTACCTGACTGGTCTGTGCTGTCTGGCTCGGTTCTTCCTTCTCATCTTGTTCTACTCCGCTCAGCTCTGACCCGGGTTCCTGTGGAACGTTCCTGTCTTTGTCTGTTCTTAAATTGCATTTCATACATTGGGTCACTTGTTCAGGATTGGGGATTGAGCTGTTTGCACTGGAACTTCTCTCGGAGGAGTCAGTTTTTGAATAAATTACATGTATGATTGAATTATCTGTGCTCTCCGTATTGCCAGTTAAGACAATATCAGAAATGGAGTCAGATGTTTCATTCATTGTCTGTTTGGGGATTTGGGGTCTCATCTCTGTAGGATTATTCTGAGCACGCACCGAACTGTCTAAAGTTGGTGGGGAAATAGTGTCGGATATTTTGAATGACTCCCCATTTCTTGTTTCCTTAATTTCATTCCTTGTCTGGATTGGGATCTTCGGTATCACCTCTCTGGGATTATTCTGTACTTGTGCAGAAATTGTCATGTTGTGGTCAGGTGGCTCTGTTTTGCTGTCTTGCAATGTTTCGTCTGCAGTTGCCGTATTGTCGGCTTCTATATCTTCAGTGTCATCTTCCGCCATCTCATCGGCATGCTCCAAGGCAAAGATCGACCACTTGCCAGGAATGTGGGTTGTCGAATCCCCCTTATGTTCGCTGCAGTGGCTGCCAAGCCAAAAAAAAAAGACACTGATACATGATATGGCAGCAGGACCATTAATCAATACACTCGTATCCATTTCATTTACAACCTGTAGTTAATTCACGGATCTAGCGATCAGCCGGGTTCTGAGCTTACTTTCTCAATCCCTGGGTGCAACTCATCCGTCCCAGGGGATTTGGTGGGTTTCAGCCCCTTGAGCCTAACCAGAAATAAATAGTACTTTACCAGCAGACAGAAAGAATGGGGTTACATTCATTGTGGGGAGTGAGCGTGGCTGCAGAAGGAACATGTTTGACTGCCTTCTTATGTTATAATCTATAAGTGAGCAAGTATTTCAGAAAAGCGTCGCAAATCCTGCAGTTGTTTTGTTAACCCACCTGTTTTACGAATAACAAGGATCAGTCATTTTGTCTCATCCCATTCCCCCACCCTAACTCCCTCCCTCCACACACATGCACACACCCACTGCAAACAACTGCTGTTATCTGGCAACAGCTGTGATCTATCCAGAGGTAATTATACATTCCAACACTGAACACCTTGCTGTGAAGAAGATTAAAGAGACCCCAAAAATATATAATTTGCACTGTAAAAGATAATTTAGTCGACTCACCACCTGACAAAGGATCACTTCTACAAAATAAATATGACAGAAAATGTATTTTCGGGTTAAAAAGCCCCCAAAAGCTGTAACATTTGGCTGCATTGCCAACTCTCTCCTCTTCTGGTTACAGAAATGATGAGCAGTTGTACTTGAGTGTACAGTGTAAGCGTGATTACTGCATGATTTAGTGATCAAAGCATACTGGATACAGGGAACTGAACATACTGAGAAGACAAAAGCATGACCACTATGTAAATGTGAGAAGACGTGCCTATAAGATACACTCCTTTGTAAGATGGGAATCCCTGTACCTCACGCTGACCTGCAACACTGGTTCTAACCCAAGATCTCCTGAAGCTGAAGTTTTACACATCACTCTTTCTCGAACGAGTCAAACACTTTCAGGAAAGAAAGTGTGTGTGTGTGCATGTGTATATGGGAGGGGGGCGGGGGGGGGGGGGGCGTGGGGTGTGCTGTATAAATGCAAGTTGTTGTTGTTGATTCAAAATCTTTTGCAAAAAAAATGTCCAGCAAAAGCAAGAAGTGAAAGTTAGTCCGCAGGCCCCACAGGATGACAAAATATAAGCCATCATTTGAATTACAAAGCTATACTTAAAAGCACCCATAGATGCAAATTTATTTAACGATCTTTTAAGGAAATTAGCATCTGGTGAACACATCTGAAATGATACAGATCAGGAATGACCACAAGGGTATAGGGTAATGTCACCTGAGAACTGGGCAATGACATGAATGTGGAAAACTGCAACACATGCAAATTTGCCAGCTGATACTTTGAAGAGTCTCTACAGCAACCTATAATTTATCACTTGCTTAGATCTGATGGCCAGTCTCACTAATGTCTCAGTTGGTAACACCACTTGCTACTCACAGTTAACTATGCAGACTAGAAAATTCCAGCGATGTAGCTGACCTCAGGCACGGAAGCATTAGGTGGACATAACACCAACATCAACATCATACTAATGATCTTCTCATTGGGTGTCAATACTAGGATTTCAGATCAGATAGCGTGAGAGGCGCTACGATTATAAGGGATTAGTAATTTACTTACTTGGATGAGCTAGATCTCAATGAATTCAACCAGAAACTGTTTGAGAGAAAAGGAAGGCTGGACTGACAGAACTGTTCTGAATTTAAAACTACATACAATAAATCTCAATGCAGCTATCTTTAAGGATTGTTTGCAGCAATAATAGCTGGGCGATTGAGCAATTGTCTGAGCAACCAGTTGTTCCAAACTCGGGAAAGCCCGGAAGGATATCTAAATTTGACCAGTTAGAACATGTGTATGTCGTTGTTACACACTCAGTAAAACAAGGAGGTTAAACCATTGAACTTACCTCACACAGTTTCCTTGTAGCCACGTGTCAATTGATTTGAAGTGATATTCCATATTCTCATAAAGGGGAGAGTCAAACTTGTAGGAATCAAAAATCTGCACCCCGCCATTCCTCAAGCGGGCACCAAGTGTCTTCTCTCCATCTCCAAACCAGATCTCAACGTGCACAATGTCATGGAACTGCAATTTGGCTATCAACAGTCAAGAAAAGCTTTTGTTTGACACAAATTGCAAAGTGTGAAGAGACAATGGACATCAATGGAATTTATGGTCACATTAGATGGCATTAACAGGCTGAAACAGAATGCTGCCAAAAACAGGCATCTTGACCCTGGTGTTTAATGGGCCAAAGCAGCAACTGTTTGATATGTACTTCACGTCTGCAATTAAGTAATTCATGTAATTAAGGAGAGCTTGTCTTTGTGACTCACTCATTTTCTATTAGGTGACTACTTCCTGGATTTTGTTAAACCATGTAGAACACTAAAAACAGCTGGACTACCAGTTCAAAATCCCAATGCTGGGGATTGAACCCACAACAGACTGATTCAGATGCAAGAGTTCCACCAACTGAACTGACACACAAAAGTGAATGCCAAAGCCAAAATGTACGCTTAACTAAGGATTTATCACAGAACTGGCAGTACCTTTGGGGTTCAAATTTTTGCCTGAGATGAAGACAAGGTCCCCTGGCTGCATAGTCTCCTGGGTCCTTATGTTGGGCAGCGTGTCATACAAGTAACTCTGGTTCCCATGTCCAATAGTAAATCCAAAGTCATCCCTCAGGTCTCGCACAATTCTTTTCACCAGCCCGCAGGAATCCAGAAACAAAGGTGATTCATACTCCGGAGCTGGTAGATATTTAGGAAAATATCAATGTCACAATGAATCAGACTATATTACTGCAAAGCAATCTTAATTCACTTTGCCTCGGAGTGAATTCTGTCACTGATATAAAAATGTTGATAATGATGAGTCCCAATGATAGCTCAATGCGAAAAGCATAACCTGTGCCAAGTCCAGAAAGATCTCAGGTTCAATCCTTGATCAGTGGTGAGTTTGCTGATCTGAGTTAAGAGCAATGGGTCACACAATCGTCGGGTAGGGGAAAACCAACCAGAGATACTGATTCCTATTGTGCTGGAATGTGCATGTGTGTTAATGTCAGTTGAGGACAGGATCGGTTGTGATCATGCAAGAGGCAAGAGGCCTGGTGAAATTCACTGTGGACCCTCACAAATGAGAATGGACACTTGACTGAGGTATAGAATTATTACTGCTCTTGGAATAAAAGCTAGTGTGTGAGTCTAAGAAATCCATTAACAAACGCCCCAATTATTAAATTCTGAAAGCGGTACTGATGGTGATCAAATAGGGGAATTGACTGATAACATACTGTATACGCTGGATTTGTACAATCATTCTGGATTAAGCAATTCTATCAAGTGTGCAATGGGGTCAGGCCATTTGAATTCATATTTGCTCACTCACTTCCTGGGTCATGGAACTTCTTTGCATATGGCACACCAATGTAGTGCTTTGCTTGCTCAATGAATTTTTGCCGTAATTCCCATAACTGAACCTCATTCTGCACCGAATGGGGGTTTACACGTATCGATTTTACATTCCGCAATTTCTCCTGCAGTGGGCACAAGGAAGAGAGAATTATTTGGCAGGTTCAATAAATCCACTATTTTCTTAGTTGCCATTTGTACAATATATTTATCAAATATTCATTATTCTCTTGCCCAAATGCTTCTGAATCTGGTTTCTTGCTAACTCCGACTGATTCCATCTCATTGTTGATTGCTGAGATTTCAGGCACTATTCTCTTGTCTTCCAGAACTCTCTTCCAAAATATCTTTGCCTTATTTCTTCTTTACCTATCTGCAAAAACCTTTTTTTTAAAAAAATTACCTTCCACCAACTGACCTAAATCTGGAAGATTGCGCTTCGAGACACAGCTCTGCATGAAGGGCGCTAATAAATGCAAGTTGTTGATTGTTGGCCAGAACACTAGAACTCCATTTTCTTTTAGAATAGTGTTACAGGACTTTTATAATAACAATTTGCACTCATATGGCTCTTTTTTACATTGTAAAACTAGTAAGTGATAATGTTTCACACAATAATGTTTCCTACAATAGAGAACTCCCCCAATGTTGCTCTAGATTGCTAAGAGACTTGGATCTACAACCATTCAGTCTTGAGGCAAGAGCGCAACTAAATGAGTAAAAAGCTGACACTTGACACCGTTTCCTGGAGTAAATAAAAAGAAATGAGGAACAACAGCGTTGAAAATGTAAGGTTTGAAACTGGTGGTTTCCCTAGGTGTGGCTTCTGCTTTGTGCTTGAAATTGTGCAACTTGCTACCAAACTTGCTGGCACTATCTCGGCAAATAGCCCATCTTTTTATGGTTTTATGGTTTATGCTAGTTACCTTCCAGTTACCTTCCAGTGGAGTCCTGTAGCTCAGTGGTTAGAGCACTCGCCTTGCAAGCGAGACACCTGATTTCAATTCCAGGCAGGGGAAACCTTGGGCAAGTTTCCTTACTCCACACAGAGCCTAATAATAATCCCTCCAAAACAAAACAGTAATAAATTGGTCATTTTCAATCCACGACTGTTTGTGGGGACGCTGCTGTGTACAACTGGCCACCTCGTTTCGCCCACAAATGTACAGACAATTCACTCTACGGTCTATTCTGTGAAGCGCTTTGAGACGTCGAGAAGACGTGAAAAGCACGATAATAATAATGCAAGGATTATTATTATTATTATCTTCCCAAAAGACAGAGATCATAAACTGCGATAACAAAGATGGTGACATGAGGAGGCAGGTTCCACACTTTTCACTGAAGTGACATATTCACCTCATATGCTGCCAGCCTGTCAGACTCGGTCAGATTTTTCAAGGTTGTTTTAGGTCGAGCATGACTTCTTACTATGTCACTGAAATAATTATCAAAGGGACTGCGTTAAATTGACTCCAATAAAGGTTAAATTTACAGTGAACTTTCCAATGGGGAGATTGTGTCCGTCCTCTGCTTTGGCTTTGCTTTGCAGTATTTAAGGAACGTTCTCTATGATACTCCAGCATAAACAGTGCCGCCTACTGTGCTAAACTGACACCATCAAAGAGATCTTTAACATACAAACCACAAAAGAACGTCAGATGAAGAACACCAGCCCTTCTGTCTTTTTTATTACAACATCAGTGTCCTGGCCTCAACTAACCGCTGTTGCAGCAAGAGGTGTAAAGCTCGTTGGAAGCATTAACTCTTTCAGAAGTACAAGTCACTGAGTTCAGACTTAGCAGTACGTCTCATCTCTCAACTACTACTGGGTCATGCTACAGGCACAAGCTTTGGGCATTTTACAAACCAAAAATAATAGGCAGAGCTACCGAGGACCAAGGTAAAGGTTCCCGTTTAATGATATTCAAATGAACCCTCAATTAGGCAATCAAGCTGAAACTTCAAAGTTTCCATTATTGTATATCTACAAAGAGTTCAACTCCACCCCACCCAGCACAATATTTTCTGTTTCTTTGATTTTTTTTTAATCAACCTGGTCTAACTGGTAAAGGTATAATTTCTACAGTATTCTGCCCGAATGTGTGCTTTGAACATGGTATTTAAAGCTGTAGAGATGCCTGTTCAGGTAGATGTTAAAGATCAGATGACACCATTTGAAAGGAGAAGGGAATTTCTTTCTCCTTGTGTCCTGATCAACAATCTTCTGAACTGATTGGCTGCTCCGCATCTTGAAATTGTGCAACTTGCTACCAAACTTGCTGGCACTATCTCGGAGATTAGCCCATATTCCCAAAAGACAGCGATCTGTTTGTGTGATCTTGCTGTCCACAAACTGGCTGTTGCATTTGCCTACAGAAAGTCACGACACTTGACTTGACATTAATTCCTTGAAAAGAGCTTTGAAATATTTCAACAGTATAAAATGCAATACTTATATTATAAAAAATATAAGTAACATTTTGACTAGTCACTGGGTGTGCTGGAGGCAGATTTCCTCTTCCACCCTTTTTTTTTTGGTCAGTCAGGTGTCTGATATGTGAAAACGTCACACCAAACTTAATCCACGAGTTTTACTTCAGCCCAAACTCAGAGGATAAATGTCTCCTCTTTGACAAATGTACATGAAGTGAGACTGACCCACATTAATGCAGTTTTCAGTAGATATGAACTCACAGGACAAAATTGCCAATAATTCAGGGTTTGGGGCACTAAATTGACTTCAAGTAGAGAAACTCTTGTGCGTAAAGCCGATTGCTGGCACAGAAGAGGGAGCTAAACCTAACTGACCTACGAATGTTTAGTGCATAATTGGGCAGGTGTTAATAGTCTCAGCACCTCCATCCTTCACATTAACCAACATTCACCAAAGAAAACATACAGTCAGAATTTCTACTTGACTAGTGATCCCGGTACAGTTTATTCCTCAGTAAACTGCACTTGGATCGTTAATTGAGTATCAACCTATTCAAAGACATGAACCCATTCAAAAACATGAACCTATTCAAAGACATGAACCTATTCAAAGACATGAACCTATTCAAAGACATGAACCTATTCAAAGCGCTCTGTGAATTCAGCTTGGGGGCAGCGAAAGGGTTAACACCGGCTTGTTCTGTTTGTGTAGGTGTCGGTCACGTGTTGCCCCGAATCCTATTTGGCAGCTAATACTGTATGTGGGATCTGGGTCCCTCTGCGGCATATCCTCATAGCAACCGGTTAATGTCACCGAGGTTATCTAACAAAGGAGAGAGCGCAACCGCAAAGACAGACAGACTCCGAGCTCCTCCTCATGTCATTGTGCAACGACTGCTTTGGAACAACCAGCCCTGTAACTTCACCTTCGTTTTTCATTCACCCGGAAGTTTGCTGAAGGATTTTTTTAAAAAGAGCTACGCCTTGGTTAAACCCCAAAAACTGAATGCTGCAAATCACAGTAGCTGACAGTAATAAGACCATTATATTCTGGACAGTCTTTACTCGTATTTCTGCTCTGCACCTGAAGTAAAAAAAAAAATTACCCTCGGAGGGCCATAAAATCCAATCACAGCAACAGGGTATCAGTGGTACTGGAGCCAAGTTTATTCATTGTTAGTTTCAGTCATAATCTAGCTGCTAAGTGGGTCTTCCCAAATGTTCTGTGTAGCTTTCTTGTTACGCCTCAGTAGCAAAGCCTTCAATACACAATAGAAGCGGAAGTTGGTGATGCAACGGTTGCACAGTTCAGCTTCCATTTTATAAAGCATAACACAAGAAAGATCGGATCAGTGCAAGGACGTACTAACGCAGAGGTGCCCAAAGCACAGGATCTTGTAATGGGATTCCTTCATGAAAGAGTCCCGAGTCACCAGAAATACATCACGATTGGACTTGCGTGAACTCACGTATAGATTGCATAATGGGAACCTCTCAGAGACGGCACATTGTAGAGCCAAAATGTGTCACTGTTAGCACAAGGTGATAAACTGAAGGTACAGTATGATTACCAGAGGAGGGAAGAGGAAACAGCCTGATCATTATTAGCTGCAATAAATTTAACAGTCCTAAACATCTGGTTATATGTGTGCACATACAATATATGACTCCATTCCAACTCATAAAGGGAGGATAGCAGAGTGGGGATCAGTTCCCAGATTGTATACATGCTTGGTGTTATAACTGTACCGGCCTACTAGGGATAACTGGGCAAGTTTACTGCTTACTATGTACTATGTCAACATCCATTAGATAAAGGAAATCTCCAGATCTTCCCTTGTACGTACTGTATCAGTTCTTATTTGCCCACTGAATCCCCTGTGGGGTACTTTGCCCGAGTGACAATTTTTTCACCCAGCTTGAAATGTAGAGCAGAGCTGCAATTTGAAAAGGCGCCAAGTAGCGGGTCAGTATGCGAGAATGCAGCTAAAATCGTAAAATTTTATTTCAGGAAGGAGCGAGAAGTCAAACATCTCATCCAAAGTATGATCCAACCACACGGCACGGCACTGGAGTGTCAGCCACGACTGTGTGAAGTCAAAGTCCAGAGATGAGGCTTGAACCCACAACCGTCGGACTCACATGCGAGACTACTACCAACTGAGCCAGGCTGGCATAATTTTTGGAGATGTGCTAGCACCACATCCCATGTCACGTGATTCACCCACATGTGTTCCAAACATATTCCTAATGTAAAAGGAAATTCTCAGCCATAAAAATCTAAGGTAAAACACCAGTTTGATTATGTTGTTTTTTATACAGCAACGAGCATGTTGAGTGAACACAACAAGGGAATTAAAAGCACAAGATGTCCTGTGACTTAGAGGAAATGGGTTTGGGTTAGAGTAAAAAAAAACACTGAATAGTTGGCGTAATTTAATGCATGATTAAAATAAAATGCTTTTCTTTATTTCTGTTTGTGGGGACGCTGCTGTGTGCAATTGGCTGCTGCGTTTTGCCCACAAAGTATACAGTCAATTCACTTTACAGTTCATTCTGCGAAGTGCTTTGAGACGTCTCGAAGACGTGATGAGGCGCTATATCAAATACAAGGATTATTATCATTTCTTTAACTTATACATCTGTGAATTTTGCATTCAGGCGGATGTTTCACCCACCAAATACACAG